ATTTGTGGCTACAATGCTTTTGTCAAACAGATATCCTCCATTGATTTCGTATCGAATGCTACAGAGAATCATAAGACCGCTTTTTCGTACGAGCTTTCTACGTTTGCTTTGGTGTTGATATTTTCCTCGTTGAACGAAGCTGTAATATTATTAATTAATACCGTTCAGGATTAATGATTTGTGAAGATCCAGAACGACGTTATACCATTTTTTCTCATGGTTCTTTTGGTAGACTGCAATTTTTAAAATTCTTCTTTCTTTTTTTTTCGCCGTTGTGCCTCTACCTATTGTACTGTGCGCCTTGAACGCTTTTGCAGTATTAAAATCCACGCGCCTGACGCGGATCGATGCCTCGTTGGAGCAATTCCACGTCTCGTGTGTTAAGTGTCAACCCTGGATGATGGTACAGACGGTGGTGAAGATAGTTCGTCAAGACAAATAGGAAGTCTGGTATATGGTATTTGATTTGGTGGTATTTACTTGATTGCTTCTACAGTAACGTTCCTCGTTGAAAATTTTAATAATGAAATGTTTTGTTCAAGATCTTTTGGTTACTGGCTAGAATCCATTGATTTGTACTGATTTTGTATACCTAGTGTCTGCATGAATAGACTTGATTGAGTGCACGGACTATCTAGCGAGAGTTTTAAAAAGCTTCTTCATGACAGAAAGTTCCACAGCGCCACTCAGATTGTATTGAGAAACTACAAGATTACTATAAGTGACGGGTTAATAAGTTTCTGTAGTCACTGCAATATCTTTATATACTTTTAATTACATTTTTCGTTTTAACATAATTTGCTTTTTAAAATTAACAATATATTTTATTCACAAAATCTCGTGAGAAATTTGGCAAGGTTTATTCCGAGATCTACTTTACCATCGGATGGTAACTTACCGTGCATTTTTTTTCGAAGAATTCGTTACTCGAGAGAATTTCTTTACCAACAGCGATTCTCAGTAATCACACGTACGTACAATCATTATTTTCAATATATGTATAAATAATTAATATTTGACAAGTAAGCAATCATTTATTTTTTCCATTTACATGAACACTGATTTTTTCCACGTATCAATATCAATTTCGTAAATAAGTCGTGTCACATGATCAAGACAAGGATTATAAATATGATTTATAGAATTACTTATATATGCACCAAAGGTTAAAGATTGGTTGAGAATTCTTACGGGATCAGTGACATAGGTACTTTTGCGTCATCCATCTATCACATAGTAAAGTGTGTCAGGTAAAACTCTCATGAATTTATGATGATTCACTTTTACAGCTAACACTCGCAACCCTTCGATATCGATTCTTAATCCAATAAACAGTTGTGCCTCAATGTCTCGCTTAATACCAATTGCTCGTCCTTTTCACTCTTGACAATTTGATTTCCATTGGCGCCCTTACGTTATTTTAAGAGGATTGAAGCTCAGCGACTTGGAATATAATTAACCCAAAAACAATAAGAGTCAAAAAAAGAGCCATACAGAAAGAAAACAAAAAGTTCTCTCCGCAAATCGGATAAAAACTTTTTCCTTTTTCTTTCTTCTCATTTTGTTATTCAACCTCCATCTACACAGCATGTCTATATCGTACTGCATAAATGCATAGGGAAGTTTCAGAGATGAAACCAGCACTTTGCTGAACGCTTATACGAGAAGCTTTCCAAATTTTTACGCTTTAACAACCCCTGCCCGACTTTGAAAACTACCAAGAGAATTCTTGAACGATTCAGGATGCTGTACTGATATCCTACACAACTTCTCTCCTTTATTCCTCTTTTTTTTCTTCTTACATATAGTAAGATGACGTTTCAGGCTGCATCCAATATCGATAACGTAATCGTCATATATTAGGTCGTCTACTATATACGTGCACTTGCCCAAGTCTATCCGCGTCACCAAAATGTCATACATAATATTTGTACAAATGTACAACTCTACGTTTCTTATAAATTAACAAAGACAAATACGAAGCAAAGAATCGAAAAGATTTAAGCAAAATAACGAACTAATCCCCAGCTGACTCAGATAATAGACGTCATATATTTTCTTACTCCGTCTTATATAGATTTTCTTTGTTAAATCAATATAAACAGTGATAAAATTGGATAATCGCATGGAACTACCTACAAACATAGTGAAATTCCCAAAAATCGATTTACATTTTAATATTTTCCAAACACAGCTGTACATGCATACGTCGTCAAATCGTTCCCATGAAATGCTACCCTAAACGTTATCGCATGTGTTATACTAACGAGAATATGCATTGCGTAAGCAGTATATTTCTCATTCTTCAGCCAAAGCACATTCCCGGTTTAAAGTAGAATTTTTTGAAATTGCAAAATTACATAATGTCACTTTTCAGAATGTACATCAGTAACATCTACCGAGAACCGCATGTACCCTCAATTACATAAATACGTCGGGTAGAGAATTTATGAAGAATCTAGGAGCATAAAAGGAAGGTAATTTTTTTTCAAAATATTCTTTAGGCCTGATATTTCCCAGACCAGTTATACTTTATTGGATTTTCTAGCAGTTTTTTAAGGCTGTCCCAGTGTTCCACGCGTTGACGCGATAAAACGCTTTGAGGGGCAGTTCTCGTCTAGTGGAGGGGGCTGGCATTGACGTCATTCAATGACGTCAATGCAGGACCGTGCCGAAAGACTGAAAGGCCCAGGGCCAAGCTGTATCGCAACTTTGGGCCACGTGCCGAAATTCACACAACGGGTACGTATATACGAAATAATGATTATAAATGCATAATTACATCATTCAAGTAATCGAGCCCGTCTCAAGGCTCTCTAATTCATGTTCACAGTACAATTTGTATCTACCTACGTGCTGCATTGAACTTCCACGAATATTACGAGGTGAACCGAAAGGAGCTGCTTTACGTATATACCTCTAAAGTATATCTATATATCAATATACACTCTATCGTAATTATCTTTATCGTGAATTTGCTTAAGTAATGAAAACGTACTAGGACACTGATTATACCTATATACGTAATACATGTCCATGAGAAATTCATGGAGTATGATACTGCACAATTTATTCCTGGTTAGTCATCCAATAATATTTGTCACTGTTACCGATTGTCCATAGTACATTGAAAGTATTCTGAGAATGTGATTATTATTTTTCATTATTGCCACGAAAACATAACCTTATCTTTGTTACGACTGAATGGCAGAGACTTAAAGAAGGCTTCATAGGTAGAGACGTAGACAGTTAAGTTATTTATGTACACCCGTTATTGAGACAGAAAAAGCATAAAAGTTATGAAGTATGGATTATAACGAGAGAATTTTTATTATTGAGCTAATGATAGAATAAAGGGATATCAAGGGTAAATATACATTGTACGTGTATAACCTGGAATTATTCGGATGAAAAAAGAACCCTGTACATACGATATAAATATACAGGTTAAAAAATTAATGCTCAACACACACGTGCGTTAATACGAATTTAGAGGTAGACTATTCGTTATCGCTCTTGTCCTACATAATGCATAAGATGAACGTACGATCATGTGGCTAATGATGACAATCATTACAATTTGTTGCATCGATTGCCTGACTCGCATTGATAAATAATACATGTATGATAATTCGGCAAATATATTAGTAACTAATGTCGTGCAGTCGCTACTTGTTTTTCTTGGTTCACTCCCAAACGATATTTAAAATCTTTTAATGCGCGTCAATCCTTTCTACTAGGGGTTCTTAAATCCCGTGCATTCAAATTCAAAGATATTTTTTTGCCGTGAATTGTAAATTTACAGAAAGACCAAATTTTATTTGCCGTCTATATCTGTAAAATCTGCTTTTCGAAAGCTCGTCGCGATACTGGCAAATTTTTTTTTAGATTTGTCTATACGTATATATATAGTTCTATGTAGTGTAACATACATATATGTACGTATATATTAAACGAGACTGGTAGGAGGACACTTTTTATTTTTATTTCGTAAGTTGCTTTTGATTCCGACGTATTTTCGAATCTAACGCGTGGATGCCTTGTAGCCCGTTAACAAAAATATACTATAGACATTTTGTGAAACAAACTCGAAAGCAGAGTTTCCGATTAGAGACATTTATGTTTTTTTACTTTTAAAAAGTGTTTTCAGACGTGTTCATGTTGACAGAACACACGTGGAGCCAATTGCTTCTGAAGAGTTGTAAAACAAGAGATAAGGGTCCACGTTGAGAAGCATAATACGTGGATACGTCTGAAAGCTCAAGGGCGAGAAGAGAAGAGTAAAAAAAATACGAGATAAACCGAACGTAAGAATACCGACCTAGGGCAACAAGAACGTTGATGCCTCTTGAGACACGACGTGGTATGTATACAAGTGCATTGGAAACATTGACAAACGAAAACATTAAACGATACTCGGAGAAAAAGGACGAATGAAGAGACAAGAGAAGCTGCCATTACAGTCAACGATTCTGTTAAAGCTGTTAGACGAGGAACATCCACATTTCTCATCCACTGACGTCATTCGACAAAGATAACGAGTGTCCGGCATTGACGCTAAGATCAATGATCTGTCATCTTTCGATCAAGATGAGCCGTTACTCTGTTTCGTATAAGAATGCGCGCGCGGCCCTTTCGTTAAATTATCTAGACGCTCTCGGAATTGACCAATCGGAGCGCGTGGGATAACCTAACAGGACACCGCGATTATTTTGAACTGCATAAACCTTGTCAATTCATTCTAAAATTATGTTGCACTTTAGACACTATTCTAACGAGGGTTAGTGAGTCTAAGTCTAAAGTCAGTACGCACGTCGTATTTGCTGTGTAATTACGTTAAAGCAATTAACGTAGAGACGACGGCCCGTTGACGTCAATTGTCAAAGATAACGTGCGTGGCTTGATGGAGGTAGACTCTTGAATAGTGGGGCGAGCTAAGGAATGAAGGGAAGTGGGGGGCGAAGGGGTAGTAACGGTTCGAAATTTAGTAGAGAGGGGGACAGCAACATGGCCGTCGGTTAGTCGGTATCGAACCGTCGTGTTGCGAGGAGGTGTTGTGTCGCTTCAAGAGTAATAAAGGAGACTGAACTCTCCTTTGAATTTCACCGAGCTAAGAGAATCTCCTTGCTGATGGCATCTACGCTCGGACATTTTATGCCTGGTAAGTAACATCTCGATTGAACTTATATCCTCGAGAGTGATATTATATGGTAGAAAATCTAAATTGACGCGTACCGTACGTCATGTTGAGGTACCTAAGGAGACCGGCGTCTTATGCGGTATCCTCGTTGTATAACAGTGAATAGACGTTTTGATATTATTAGTACGGTGGAGTTTCTTGTTTTTACTCTAAGTCTAGTTCAGTCTAGTTGCCCAGCCATTATTGACGGGCATCGATCCAGAGTCGTTGAGTAAACTTGAGGACGTCGATCCGTGACGTCATTGACGAATACCTATTGTACTTGTTGCAGGCGGTTATTTGCCTACTATGTTTAAAGATTAGTAGCTTACGGTAATAAAATATGTGTAGTACGAAAGATTGAGAAACTGCTGTATGTCTTTATTTAAAGAAAATTTTATATGTTTTTTCCTGAAGGAAGACGGTTACTGTGATTCGCCAATGTCGAACGATGGCGCGCGTCCTACGTGCGTAAGCGCTGACGCACGTGATGGAGAATTTTTGTTAATATTGCTTGTTTAAAGAAATCCGCTAAATGTTTAAAATAGAAAGGTCTCCGCTAGAACACGGTTGTGAAATTGAAACCAGCGCGAAGTATGAAGGCTAAAAACGGACTTGAAGGATAAACGTGAAAGTGCTCGAAGGGAAAACCATTGATGATAACATTACGATCGACAATCTGTATATCAGCAGTGGATTAGACTTTAAATTCTAATTAAATAGTTGCAAGGAAAAGTCTCGTCGAAGGTTTTTAACTATAATAGATAAATACTATAAATAATCGTCGCGCGAAGGACAAGAAATCGTGGGAAGGTAAACATATTGGACGCTGGGCATGGGGGATTGGGATTTAAAAAATGTTAAAAAACTATTAACCTCTTACAAGCTGCTTTTGCGGATAATATTTGGAATTTCGCGGTAGTTGCTCGTCTCGGAACGTTCTTATTAGTCAAAACAGAAACGCTCGTAAAGAATCAGCGGGCGACCGTAAAATTGCGATTCGCAAATGAAAAACTTCAAATTCCATTCTCAAGGTTGACTATAATGGGGTTACTGGAGAGGGTAGGAATGAAAATATTTGTAATTTTTATCTAAAGGCCTGTAATATTAGAAGCATGAGATAAAAATGTTTTTAGATACAAAGAATACGTTTGCACAGACATGGGCGATGTATAGAATAGAGCGAAGTACGTAAGCAGTGACGCGCGTAGCTAATTTTTTTTTAATTTGCCTATTCATTGCACGCACTGCTCGTTTGAGCCTTTTTAATAAAGAAAGTCACTTATTTTCTACTACATTTATCAGTTATGACGATCAATTTTTATCGCAGACGTTCGACGCTCAAATCAGTTACGTATGTCCCGACACACATATATATATCTTAACTATACAGAAACGTCGAAATTGATTATCCACGTATATGTGCTCTCCGTCATTGATAACGGGCCGTGCGCACTGTGTCTGCTTTACGAAAACCTTTATTTGATTCCCTTATAAAATAATCTCACTTTATCCTCTCACCCATTTACCCAGTTCGCCTGTGTACCTCACAGTTCCATGTCAAATGTTACAGGTAACTTTCGGAAGAGGTGAAGGAATCCCTTTAATGATCGATTGATATACCTTCTTGACCTGGTCGACAGTTATTAATGCGAGAAAATGGATCCTGGTGCTGGCCAGGGTAAAAAGCAAATCCGCGTGGGTTTCTATGACATCGAAGGGACCATTGGCAAAGGGAACTTCGCCGTGGTCAAGTTAGCCAGGCATCGAATCACTAAAACCGAGGTAAACAGGAGACAAGGCGCGTCCTTGAGTCGAGGTTAATGATTGTGCAATCTGCGCATTAAGGACGATGACAACAAAAAATGACTAGAGAGAAAACTGAACGGACATTAGCAATACCTTTACCAATGTCAATGTTTCTTTGTTCAGGTTGCAATAAAGATAATTGATAAGACACAACTGGATTCGACTAATCTCGAGAAGGTATATCGCGAAGTGGAAATCATGAAACAACTGGAGCATCCGCATATCGTTAAGCTATATCAGGTTATGGAGACCAAAAATATGATATACATGGCAAGTTAAATTTTGTTAATTTCAATAGACTCGATACACTTCCGCGTATATTTGTGTCTTGTATTATTTATTGCGTAATTGTGTTTGCCTAGGTGTGCGAGTACGCTAGCAAGGGTGAAATTTTTGATTACATAGCGCGTTACGGAAGAATGGGAGAACCACGAGCGCGGTCTACTTTTGCTCAGATACTATCAGCTGTCGAATACTGCCATGCTACCGGAGTGGCACATCGCGATCTCAAAGCCGAGAATCTCTTACTGGATGCTCAGATGAATGTCAAGATTGCAGATTTTGGTTTTAGCAATAGATTCACACCCGGCGAACGTTTAAGCACGTGGTGCGGCAGTCCGCCGTACGCGGCGCCAGAAGTCTTTCGTGGGAAACATTACGTCGGCCCAGAGATCGACATATGGGTAAGACATTAATTTTGTAGGAAGCTTGATCAATTAGAAAGTAATATTAATTTGTAATTCGAATCTTTGCAGAGCTTAGGTGTAGTGCTTTATGTACTAGTCTGCGGTGCATTACCATTTGATGGATCAACACTGCAATCGTTACGCGATCGAGTATTAAGCGGCCGATTTCGTATCCCTTATTTTATGAGTACAGGTATTGTACAATTGATTATTAATATATTTATTTAATCCGATTCAATGATGATTCATATATTTAATTATGTCTTGTATCATACTATTATTTCTTAGACTGCGAGAGTCTCATACGGAAGATGCTGGTTCTTGAACCTGGTAAGAGGTACACCATTCCGCAGATCAAGAGGCATCGTTGGATGGCTGGTTCTGCTGATACGACATGTGTTCCAGTAATACCTATGGTGACGTCTACCTTGCAAGAACCCAATGAACAAATTCTTAGGCTGATGCACAGTCTTGGTATTGACATTAGTCGAACTAGAGAGGTGAGTTAAAGATTATATGTATGTATCTGTGTCGTTTCAGTATGTTATAACTGTGTCTAATACGGGTTTTGCTTTTTGATGCAGTCTTTAAGGAACAACAGTTACGATCATCATGCTGCAATTTACTTTTTGCTACTGGAGAGGCTTAAGCAACATCGTTCCAGCAACTCAACGAACAACAGTTGTTGGCCTACTGTTGCACGTACTAAAGAAGACAAGTTCAATTCAAGGTACGTTAGTCACGGATGTCACTCTGACGTTGTCACCCTTTCTTTGACTTTTTTAGTCGAGATTCTTATTCTAAATTACGAATACTTGGCTTATGCAATATCCAACTTCCAATCCCTCCTATCGCGAGAATCGAAAGAAAAGGGATTCTAAAGTTTAATCGTTTGGTTTTTATTTGCAGCGATAGCTTAGTGGGACGTTGATCGTAATTGATGGGTGGTGATGAAAATTGGAGATTTAATCGGAACAGGTCGGATTGGAAGATCGTGGCTGTCTCTTTCAGTTTTGGTAACTCTTCGTTTAAAAACTTCCTATTTGCTTGCTCTGCTTATCTTCGTGAATTCTGCCTGTGATCGACGATCCTTTTTCGCATCGTGTTACTATTTTGCCCAGTTTTAGTTTCATCCTCATAATCAGACCCGCCGTAAAACCGGGATAATCTATTCATTCTCGTGGGAAACTAACCACCACCCATATAATTAATCACACCATTAAGCTAATGCGATGAAACGTTGAACTCCATGAATTTTATCGAAATACTGCTAAGAGAAATTCTGTGAGAGCATTAGAGTAATGACGCTAGGTTAATGTAGATATAAGTGCGGGAACTACAATAATTTTTTTGCCGAACCACAATGTCCATTCTATATGCATTATCACTTTATAGGATCCTTATTTTATTTTTAACAGAACCAGAGAGGATGTTGGAAGAGCAGGAAAGAGATTCAGCTCCACGAGCTCCTCCACCGATGAAGGTTGTTGCAGTGCCGAAGGGGAACTCGAGGAAGGACCCAGTGGAGATGAACTTCGTGAGGCTCAGATAAAATTGGAAGAGCACAGACTTGGATTAGATCGTGATATCAGTCAGAGAATTGACAGTCAGATAGTCAATCGTAGACTGAGCGATTATCAACAGCAACACTTTGATAGTCCCATCATGGATCCAATCGATCCACCTGCTAGAACAGCGTTGTTCGCTACCGGTGGAAGCGGAAGTTCATCCTCTTTATTATTCGAATCGAGTTTCGATTCGGGATGCCCTCCGGATTACACGGTTACCGGTTGTTTTACAAGCAGCCTGCCTTCATGCACGCCGCCACCTCCCAAAAGCCCATCCCCGGTAGCAACAAGGATATCAAGAGTGGCTCAAGGACGTAGAGCATCTGATGGCGGACCGAGGTTGCTGTTTTGTCAGCAAGGTGGTGGGGATAGACCAGCCAAACAACGTAGCATTCAAGGTAAGATTCTGGTTTTCCTGTGTTTGGATTTTTTTTTAAGGATATCCTTGTACAACATTAAACGGGAAATGGTTAACCAATTGACTACGAATAATCAGCATTATCGTATAATTTATTGTTTTTCATTATCTTTAAATTCATTTTTTAGACACGTTATTCTTATACTAAGGAGAGTCGGGAGAAAAAAGAGAAACCGGTGTTACGTGGAGTACAGACAGGCAATGCTACGTTCCAGATTCAGGAAAGGCTAGAGGTCACATGGATCTCGTTCATCTCAGACCACCCTCGACGTCGCCGCAAAGTCAACCGCAATTTAAGGTCCGCGGTGACTCGGGGACTCAGCTGCAGCTTCTCGTTCAACAACGCATGCTTCAGCAAAAGAGGAATCTCTATCATAGACACAGAGGCGGTGGAAGTCCTACGCCAAATCCGGTGTCCGGCGCTGTCACAAACAGACGTGGCGAACACGTACCACGGCAGGATAGTTACAAGTTGGCGCAGAGGACGCAAATCTTGCCGCCCTTGGTACAGGGACTCGGGGACGAGCATTTCGATAGGGAGCGTGAACGAGAAGAGGAACGATGGAAAAGTCTACCGTCAAGATTGGCAGCCGATTGCCAATTGGCTGAGAGAACGCTCCTATGGAGTCAACAGGTAATCTCATAAGTGAGCTTAGACTTTAGAGGACGATTGGATTTTAGAGACGCTGCTCGTCTACTGGATATGAATATTAAGCCAAAAGAAAGTAAATATATATCTACCAATTATTAATGGCGCTAGGTATATATTTTTTAATCCTAATTTTCCTTTACCATAGACTCGAGACTATTATCTACCAAAGCATTGAAACGAGCGCAGTAGTTTCTACGATCCATGAATTCCGTAAATAATAAAAAGTAAAAGAGAAAGAAAGTTCGCGCAATTTTTTTTCTTTGGCTTAATTTAATTATTTTTTTTTACACTTGGCCACTAGATGGCGTTAGTCACACTGAAAGCGATTCATCTAATTTTTAATTATTGTTCGTAAAGTTATTACCTAGCTAGTTAGTACCTGCGATTTGTTCCTATGATTATTTATTTACTTGACACAAATAAATAGTTATTTTTCTTTAATTTTGGCGTTTATCATTCGCTCTTTTTTTTTTGACATTTCTCTTGCATGCACGTCCCATCTAATATTTAGAATAACAGAACACAGTACCGTAGACATAATGATCTTCCATTACTATTAACCATTATACATATAATCGTTAGTTCTATCAAATTCCCATGTAAAGACACTCGTTGATCCGTTCGCAATTACTAATGAAAGTATGCATGTTTTCCTTTCTTAATAACAGAATCCAAAGTTCCATCCTCACATCAAAGTAGCACAACAGCTCGCTTGCTTCTCACTATTACATGTAGCGCATGTGGCTCCAATTGAAATAAAATGACACGTAACGATATTAGGTCGGACTCGGTGGTGGTGCATCTTATCTACCTCCTGGGGGCGTAGGTGGTTTTTTGTGGCCTGCCGGGAGCAATCCCCATTCAACGATATTCGAAAACGCCGGAGATCCCATGGAATGAACTGCCTCACGTTGTTCATAGAAATATCACGGCTAAATAACGTAGTAATAACGTACATACCATTGAGATTTGGAGCCCGTAAAAGCGAGACAAGACAGACAATACGCTCGATCGTCAACGGAAATACTAATGGATATCCAGGAAAAAAAAACCCCCCTTATATAATCATATTCCCAGAATGCAGTATTATTTGTCACTTGTCACAAACAAATGAAGAAATCTCTGTTATGTTGCGTCTGTTGCTGCTATTACGTTATCGACAACGAAATACCTCCTTGCTTCCTCGATAAGGATTTATTTGACTATTCTATTTTTTTTTAATGCGGATTGCGTAGACTTTAACGTCACGCATTGGCAACTGCTTCCTGCGATAATTAGCGACGGTGCTGATAACAGAAATGAATACTGATAACCAGAAATAAGGAATAGACGTCTTGTGATTTTCATGATGAAGTATTTAAAGAGAAGGACGTACGTCGCATGTTTAACGAATTGAGATTTGTTGGTAATTGCTGTTTGTTGTATTGATAAAAAATTTAAATTATCCCTCTTAATAGCACGACACAAAGAGTCCTTATCGATTTGGTATCTATTGTCTAGATTTTTATGTATGCCTGTAAATGTCTGGGGTAATGTCCTACGTAAGTCCAACTATACCACTGGCACTATCGAATCCAGTAACCAATTTCATCATAGACTGATAACAAAACCAAAGTGTAACACCAAAACAATAATCATTAAGAAACATGTGTGACGTAGGTCCTGGGACCTTTGTTAACTGTACTGTTGTCTCATATGTCACCTGGATATATGAACGTAAATTTTTTAACTGAAACAAGTCAAGTTCAGATACTAAAAAAAAGTATCCAAGTTAAACTTTAATTTGTACTATGTAGGATATTTTATGTCCTTGTTAATTTAGTTTACGTTTAGAAAGCAATATTCAAGAACGTACCACCTCCGGTATGCCACATTACATGTATTTACATATGATATAGGATTTGTGAAACTGAAATTAATTACTGCCAAGGAATCATGACTAATCAGAAAACCAGAGCGTGCTCAAAGAGAAAACTAGTCGCGAAATCATTTTCTAGTGATTAAATAGTATTCTTGTGCGTCAAAGCTAGGATGAAAAAAAAGTTACTCCCCACGATGATTATATAAAGCGAGTAGTGTATAAGAAAAATTATGGGGTATTTTAAAAGACGATCGATACAGGACGTGCGTCACGTGTGCTTTTTTTACACCCCAGATCACCAAACAGCGGAAAGCTGTGAGAATCGAAACAAGTCAATTTACCTGATTCTCAGAGCGACTATTGATTATGAATCTATTGGTTGCAATGTCAAAATAGAAACTTGTTTGATCCTCTTTCACTCTTTGTTACTTAAAGAAAAAGAAGGACAGCTATTTAGGTATTGATAATAACGAGGATTGATATTAGCCGTAAACGTTAGATGAGACGTGTGAGAAAACAAAAATTGCAAGGAAGAAGTGCTGCACTATATATTATTGGCGGGTGGATATTAACATTTGAAATGTTTTTTAGATGAGACCGGAAGTGTCTGTGTGGTACTAGTGTTTTTCGGTTGAATGGTCTTTTGAAAATTAATATTTTCCTAACGACGCAGTTGTAAACATTGTCAATTCGTTTCTAATAGAAAACTACGGTTTTTCACGGGACACTTCAGGGCGCAATTTGATTGACGTCCTTTAATGTTAAACGAATTTTTAATGGTGACATTATTGGTCTCGTGTTGCAGCACTTCTTTTTCGTGCTATAGTTAAATATGTTTAGACTCTAGTCGATAGGAAGCAATACCGGCCGCGCACAACTGACAACGACTTTACTATTCGAATTCTCCGCCATTTTTTACCCAAGAAACAATCAAACTTCGCTCAAAGAATTTTAAAGAAATGTGAAACCTTTTGATAAGCAAATCAATAGCTGTTAAGTTAGTCTAATCACTGGGCGAATCTCTCGTTCTCAAACAGGCAACACCACGTTAAATCCATGACGCAATTTACATACAAGTTGATAGGAATTGAGACCAAAGAAATGAATCGTGGTATCATTTGCAATTGCAGAATCCTTTTTAATCAGTCATTGCCCTTTCAGAATGATGGATTCAAACGTACGTAATATGTAGGAATCGTTTTAGAAAAACTGCTAACGTTTCTTTTACTAGCAATAAATTCGTTCTCTATCCGTTGATGAAGGGAGATTTAAAAAACTGAGAGTGAAGAGTTGACGGCAAAGATGAAAAGAAAAGCGTTCAAAGATTCGTCCGTTACTTTGAGCAGGTATTTTGTAAAGTATTGTACGCGACATGTACTTATTGTTTTGCGAAGTGAGGTCTAACATAGTCAATAGCTACAGATATTTTGTTAGGGTAATTATTTGCTATCGAGTAAAGACTGTCGCGCAAATATAACGATGAGAATTCGACGATTATCATATCAGTGGAAGATAACGAGTGGCCAGTAAGAGACGGATAGGGGAGGCATTGTATATTTCAACATTGTTTCACGATTGTTTAACGATTTTTCGTGAAAGTGCGTGGGATACGAAGTTCTTAGATTGGTCACTGGTAGTAAATATTTACCGTTTATATAATAATAGAATGGTCACCAATATAATATACAAGCGCGCGTAGAGTGTATTAAATAAAGCATATACAAATTATGATTGAATACTACTCATTTATCCGCATTAATATATAATAATATTATAGAACTTTATTTGAATCATGTAATGATGTGAAAGTACCTATTTCATTGAAACTGCTATAAGTTTTTGGGTTTCAGTGATTCGTTCCTCCTTCGGACGATCAGTGGTAAAAATGTCACAGCCAGTACTACCAGCACGAGCTTTAGCTTCACTCGGTGTAAGCTTCTCTTCTTCACTTGGCTCCAATGGCTGGCCATCCAAATCCAATTTCCCATTCTCATAATCACTTAAAATTTTAGGACCATATACAACTTTGAATAGGTCATAAGGTGTAAATGGAACCTCTTCACGTCGTTCTGCACGATAGGAGACATATGGCTTTAAGTTAAAATCTGCCAGAGATGGTACAATAAGTTCTGGTATCATTTCAGGTACATTAACAAAGCAGTTTCCCTCCCGATAACCAGTAGGCTTAACACCTCGACCTAAAATTAACATTATTAATATGATACTATCAAGTTCAGAATAATGAAATTAACAAATTTGAACATACGATCAATAGGCACATCTGGATCTGGTTTCTCGTGTTGTTTTTTCTTGAAAAGACGGGAACCGCGTTTGTTGTAAATTAGAAATTTGCGAAAATTACGAGCACCATTACAAACGCATGTTGTTGAGATACCTCGCCGTAAAATCATGCACGTAGATGCCATAGCCAGTCTTAATCAAAATAATTAAATACAATATCAAAATTAAAGACCAATGGCATAGGTTAAGGCGATACAAGCATATTAAAGTAATACGATAATGATTATATTAATATAGTAATACCACCAAATGGAAAAAATAGAAAATGACGACTTCCTAATCAAGTCCTAATGTTGTCACATGCGTGCAGTTTTTCAGTTAATCTTTTAAAAATTGTATATGTTGTTTCTTGATTCGTAGGATTTAGAGTAAAATCTTCACCATAAACTACATTCACGTAATGGTGGATGGTGCAAAAGACCGGACTGGACCAGACTGAGATGAGTAACAAAGATGAATAGGGAGATGGACAACGCTACGCTTTTAGGCGATATCAAAATTATGGCGCTAAATCGTAGTGGCCAGACTGGAAGTAGGATTTTGTGATCATCGCCTCCGTCGATAATGCGGATCACGAACGTGTAGCTTGGCGAGCAGAGGCTCTTCGCTACTTACCGCTGGTTTCCGAAACAACTCTTACAACGAGGCAGCTCATCGAATATAGCCTAAATAGTTATTTTCTTTACAATCCTAAGTTCGAGCGTATAGTGTAAAGCTCGGTTTTAATATGACAAAAGTCAACAACTCATGCCTGGCTGCGTTAAGGAGAGCAGCGATGCGGTGCTAGCTTCCAGCATTATTTAATAATAGTTCCAAGCAGAACTATGGTCCCAACATTGAGTACTAGAAAGAACTACCCCGGAACTGTTTGAAACATAATCTGAAAATAACACTGAAAAAAGTCAGCTCCTTATGCATAACTGCACTGAAGCATATAGTGCGACTAGTATCCTTAATCACGGCACTGCTTTAGTTTATTTTATCATCCAACACGCATACAGTCAGTCCTTTTCTTGTCCGCACATCAGTATAATATAAACTTTATTCTAATCCAGTATAAATGAACTCGCTCATGTATAAACTAATCTTTTTCACGTATCATTAAAGAGTAAAAATAGGAAAGAAAAGGAAATTCTCGTGTTTATATCATTTCAAACTTTCCGGTCCCATTGCGCTATTTCTATAGCCAATACAGCGGCGAATCCCTGACGAACTCACGGTCTTGAACAGCCAATCAGCGAGGCACTTCAAAATAACCAGTTCAGGACGTAACAACGTTGGTAACAATGTCAACGTGGACACGCCACCTAAGCGGAGGGCCCTCGAATCAGTCTCACGTTTTGGATTGGTCGAGTACATATATATATATATATATATATGTATAATAATACTATACGTGATATTCGTGAGCTCCATGAGACGCATGGATTTATACCGGGTGTCAGTCATTGACTCATTGGCATTCTCCCTACCCATCTCTGGTTAAGGCAAAAACACGAGAATGAATTTTAAAAATTTAATTATACATGTTGTAAGGAACACTTAAAAATGTTTTTGTGATCATTTATCCACTATTATCATTGTGATTGTTCATGTCAGCCACGATTTTCGATGAGATAATGTGCAGGAGCCAGGATTTGCAATAGCCGGTTGATCTGGGAAAAAATTCAATGGATTCTTGAAATGCGATATATTTAGCTGTTGTTCACAATCGCAAATTTTTTTAATTCTCTATGCAGCTTCTTCTGCAGCTTTGTTCGTAATGTGTAATATATACCGTGATTGGAATTGAAAGAAGCAAGAATGACCAAAAAGTGCATCGTGCCTGCTTGAATCACAATGGTAGAAATTTGCGTTTGAAAATCTCACAGGAGTTACAAATAAATTCAGTAAAAAAGTTACGATACAAGCAAAAATTGACTGTATACATTAGTATATCCTCTGTAAAAGATTTTTCATTAAAAATTCCTACACTCAAACCGGAGAAAGTCTTCTTTTTACAAAGAGTATTGGACCTTGTGGAACCAATTTCATATAGTGATGCAACATAAATTCAACAAGTGCAAAAGAGAGAAAATATTTATACTATTGAACTTAGCTACGAAAAAAATTCTACTTCTGCAGATATTTCACTTTTTGTACTTGTCCAGAGGTATTTTCATCAAGTTAAAAGTTTTCAGTATATACGCAGTTATAGCATCATTTAATTTTCATGACTTTTAGGTGAATTGGTCCATTTAACTTCACTTTTTTAAATCATCAATTCTTTATTTGTCTAACTTTAAAATTAGATTGTTAAATTTTATTTAATTAGCATCGCATCGGTTTTTTGTGTGTAACTTTCCTTTTGAATCAGCGATAAGAGGTTGCACTGAATTTACGGATGCGCATGCGTGCATTCTCGACACTAGCGCTTGCGGACAAAATTGTCCACGTTACGGTTACGATCTACAACATGGAGAAGATAGGGAAGTGCCTAGACCTGTATACAAGATCGTGAGGCAAAAACAGCTTGTAGGCACTAACCTTTTAGAAAGGACGTTATTACATTACAGTTTAATAGAAAATATATTATTCGTCTTTGTAAAGATAAGATATCTATTAAAAATGGATCACCTTAGTGCCCAATTGATGGAAGATGTCGTTTTAGAACAGAAAAAAGGACCTAAAAGTAATATGTAAGAAATAAAGAATTCAGTGTCATATATTATTTGATTTTGTATTTAAAACAGCAGTTAAATATAATTTTTGTTTAGCTCATCTGCAAGGAATACTATCGTGAAACCAACTAAAGATGTTTCTAAGCCAGAAAGTTCTCCACGACCTTCAATGAATCTTAAGGTTGAAATGCAAACTCTCAGAATAGCAGAGGAATCTGAGAAACAACTTTATGAAACATTGAAACATATTTATGGATCTGTATGTACAACTATGATATATTAAAATATGATTGATACGTATATTGCAATGTAAATTAAGTAAAGACTAACACGATGATGTTAATAAGATTTTTGATTTTGTTAGAGCTTCAAAATGACTGATATCACTGAGTTTGAAAATAAAAAATCTAATTTGGGCAAGCAATATTGGATGGAAAGGGGTAATTTAGTAATAAAAGGAGTTTTGGATTATTCATCCAAGGATACAACACCAAAAACTCAAGAGCAAATAACAAGACAATTTGCAACATCCAAACTAGAAACCTACAGGTTTTGTAGTATTGTACTGTATTTTCTCTAAATAATAGTATTTTATATTTTGTTTTCTAAAACCATTACTATTGACATTTCCACTGTTACAGCTTCCATTCTTCGCATTGTATAGAAGCTTTGATGCATGCAAGCGGTCATATGGGAAATGCATTAGAAATATTATTTAGTAAATATTATGGAACTGATGAACTTCCTAAGAGGGAAGATTTGAGTGATTTGGATTACAACGAAATATTGGAAAGAAGAGACGACGAAAAATTAGCTTTGGAGTCAATTTATGGAGATATGTTCACTGAGAAGATAAAAAACCAAATTTGGATAATTAAGCTAAAGTTAAATTACTTATTAAAAAAACAAGAGACTAAGACCATGCAAAAACCTAAGAAGGAAAATAAAGAGCTATGCAGATTGTTTTTACACGGTAAATGTCGATTTGGGCCAAAATGTAAATTTCTACATCAACAACCAGAACCAGTAAAACCAGAACCAATTAGAGAAGATCCATATTTTACATTGGAAATAAGATTCCCTGAAGGTAAGTGACTAAATTTGTATATAAGAGATTTGTTGGTTTGATTATTAACTTTTAAATTATCATTTTAAACAGGTTGCATGTATCCTTATGAACCACCATACCTTTATTTCTCTAAAAATGAAACAACGTATCCGAAAATAGAATGCCTTAGAATAGCACGAAGGCTTTATGATGAGGCACAGCAACTCTGCATTGATGGAACTCCATCAATATTCTCATTAATCTCACTCTTGGAAAATGAGTACGACATAAAATCATACTTGGAGGAAAATAAAGAGCAGTTTATAGACAAGGATGATCCTCTATTTCCGAAATCGTCGGAGGATGATAGCAATGACGCTCCTACACATTATGAGAAGGGCTCTACGCGTCGTCGAGATCGTAACAATATTCCTTGGCAAGAAATAGTGAAACAAGATGATGAGATTCAACAAAAGTTTATGGAAAAGCAAAGAAATTCAAGATATCTAAAAATGAAGGAGGTGCGAAGAAAGTTGCCAGCTTGGTCACGTATGAATGCAATATTAGAAATAATAGATGAAAACCCAGTCACTATAATATCCGGTGAAACCGGATGCGGCAAAAGTACTCAGGTAATTGAAACTTATTCTTATACTGCGTATAAGATTTCACGATAATATATTACAGGTTCCCCAATTTATATTGGATAACTGGATAGTAAACAGATACGAGGAATCAAAATCTCATGTAGAAATAATTTGTACTCAACCACGCAGAATAAGTGCAATAGGTGTTTCTGAGAGAGTTGCAGCAGAAAGAGATGAGCGTATAGGAAATACAATTGGCTATCAAATCCGTCTGGAAAACAAAATGTCCAATTGGACAAGATTGACTTTTTGTACGACAGGTATACTTTTACAAAGGTTCTCAAGTGATCCACAACTAAAATCAGTCACTCACATCATAGTGGACGAAGTTCATGAACGTAGTGCTGAAAGGTACTAATATACCAAAGAAGATAGTACTTTCAAATTATAGTGTTTGATTATTGATTACATTTTATTAATGTTATTTTATTACAGTGACTTTTTGCTCATGTTGTTAAAACAATTGCTGCCTAAGAGGCCAGATTTGAAAATTATTTTAATGAGTGCTACTCTCAAAGCTGATGCGTTTTCAACTTACTTTGGAAATGTTCCCGTACTAGATATTCCTGGTAGAACATTCCCTGTCGAACAAATCTTTCTGGAGGATATCCTTGAAAGAACGAATTTTGTTCTTGAAGAGAATTCAAAATATACACGTAAAGTTAAAGGCGGCTGGGAGCAACTAGAAATTGATTTGGAGTCTGCAGATGTTGAGAGTTTATCCAGTGTCGTACCAAGAGATAATGTTGTCGATGACAACTTGACCTTAGCCCAACTTTTTGGACGATATGAAGGGTACTCTAGGCGTACATATAAAAATCTTTACGTAATGGACCATGAAAAAATTAATTTTGATTTGTTGGAAAAGACCTTGGAGTGGATTGTTAATGGGGATCATGAATATCCTAAAACAGGCTCAATTCTGGTAAAATATTATAGTACCATATGTAACATTTCTGTTACGAATCGACCTACAGTAACAATATAAATTTTCAGGTATTTTTACCTGGTTTTGCAGAGATTATTGCACTAAGGGATTCCTTATGTGACAATAAAATTTTATCACCAAAAGCTGGAAAATTCGTTGTGGTACCATTACATTCCACTTTGTCCAGCGAGGAGCAGAGCTTAGTTTTCAGAAAAATGAAAGAGGGTGTTAGAAAAATTGTGTTGAGTACAAACATATCAGAAACTTCTGTAACAATAGACGATTGCGTATTTGTCGTTGATACTGGCAAAATGAAGGAAACTCGATTCAATTCTAATCAGAATATGGAGAGTTTAGAAATGTGCTGGGTATCTCGTGCCAATGCTATGCAAAGGAAAGGACGTGCAGGTCGCGTAATGCCTGGTGTTAGCATACATCTTTATACATCTCATAGGTTTAATACTTTAACTATTATATTGTGTTTCCAATTCAGAATAATAAAATAAGAGCATAATTAAAAGTAATGTATTCTAGATTCAAGCATCACTTCTTAGCTCAACCGATACCTGAAATATTAAGAATTCCTTTAGAACCCTTACTGCTCCGTATTCAAATTATGCACAAAGGAAAGAAAGTAAATCTTCATGATATTTTAGGTTTGTATTGTATAATTATGTGTCCCTTATAGATCAAATTTATTATATTCTATGTTATAATAATTATTATTATTCCACTTACAGATAAAGTTCTGGAACCTCCTTCTAAGGAAAGTGTTACTGACGCTATAAAGCGACTCCAAGATGTGGGAGCGTTCGATCCTGAATGTGTATTGACTCCCTTGGGTCATCATTTAGCAACATTACCAGTCGACGTACGAATTGGGAAATTAATATTGTTCGGTTCTATTTTTTGTTGTGTGGATTCGGCACTGACAATAGCAGCCTGTCTTTCACATAAAAGTCCGTTCGTCGCACCTTTTGATAAAAAACACGAAGTCGACAAGAAAAAAAAGGAATTCGCAACCGCCAACTCGGATCAATTGACCATCCTCAAGGCGTATAGGGTAAATAATTGTAAATTTACAATAATGTATACGTAATGAAATAATGGATATGATATTTCAGAAATGGTTGGAAACATGCTCTCATAGTTTCTATGCTGGTCAAGTATTTGCCAATGAAAATTTCTTGTCAGTGAGAACCTTGCACACTCTGGCTGATATAAAACACCAATTTCTAGAGTTACTAGTGTCAATTGGTTTTGTACCTGCTGATGTCAGGAAACGCCAAATGGGATCAGATAAAATTCTCGAAACGACAGGTTTCGAATTAAATGTGAACAACGAAAATTTTAAGCTACTACAGGGTCTCTTGTGCGCCGCACTGTATCCGAATGTCGTAAAAGTTTTCACGCCTGAGAAATCCTTCCAAATACAGTCGTCTGGTGCTATTCCTAGACAACCCAAACCAGAGGAGCTTAGATTCCAGACGAAAAATGATGGCTTCGTTAATATTCATCCATCTTCAGTGAATTTCTCAGTGGGACATTTTCCCAGTCCTTATCTTGTCTTTCAAGAGAAGATCAAGACTAGTAGAATTTTTATCAGGGAAATATCCATGGTGCCTATGTTATCGTTAATCCTGTTTTCAGGATACGGTATTAACATTGAATTGCACAATGGTACTGTTATTCTATCGCTAGGAGATGGTTGGATTATGTTCAGGGTAGAATCACACAGGGTAAGAATTAAGAACTTAACATTACGTACAATATAAGCAATGTATATTTGATTTTAGAATTTCTGTTTTCTCCCTTGTTTCAGGTGGCACAATTGTTACAACGCATGAGAATCGAATTAGTTAAATTATTAGAGCAGAAAATGCAAGATCCTTTATTGAATCTTCTTAATCACCAGAATGGAAAAAAGATTATACATACAATAGTCAATATAGTTACAAGAGATTAGGTAGACATAAATTAATTTAATTTATCAACAGTTCAGAAATTATCTGGAGACAATTTCAATTTTCACGTTTGTGAAGTATTAATTGTACATAGATAATATAATAATTTTATAATACGCTTATTGTTGACACTTTCAAAGTGTCAAAGAAAAATACATGTCTATTTCTTTAAGCGTGGTATTTTGAAAATTCCTTATATTCTCTATGCCCTACATTTTTTCCCTATTTTATTTGGCCAGGTACAAATGATCAGAATCAGCGCCATTTTCTGAAAGAAGAGTGGCGGCATTCTAAAGTATTGCAGGTTAACACGTGGTTGGTGTTATGCGGCGGATGGACGTTGCACGTGTTCTTTTAAAAAGATCTTAAACATTTATAATTCGAGAAATGTCAGTATGAATAATACTTATTTCGTTAGTTATAATAACGCAGTGATTTAATGTCAACAAGGGGTACTGCTTATAAATAATGTATCAAAGAAAGAAAACGTGAAATCAATGCTAGAAATTGTGATACAAACGATTAAACTTCAATAGGATTTTTTATTAATAATTATTTCTTATTACTTAATGAATGAAGCTTTAAACTGTCGAAATGGCTAGTGAACAAAGTATTGTAAATGAACTTGAGAAGATTGTCCAGCATGACGTAACCTTAAAGAATGAAACTTGCCAGTCAAGTACTGAAGCTCATATGGTTTTTGAAAAACCTATATCTGAAGTTGAAACTGTTACAAATACAGAATTTGTACAAAATTGTATAGTGGAGACAAATTCTGAGATGACAAAAGATGCTGTGGATACAATGGAAATAGATGATGGTATTTTGAAAAGTAACGTGTTACCAAATGTTGCGATAAACCATGATACTAATGTTGAAAAACATTCAGAGAGTAGTGATAATCAAATTTTTAATGGTTGTAATAATACAGAAGATAAGTTTAGCTTGGAGCAAAGGGAATTACCAACTGTAATGAAGAATCATGGTTCTACAGATGATAACACCAATGTACAACCATTACATATTGCTGATAAGTCAGCAAATGCAAAAGGTTTCTTTTAGAAGCAATACATGATGGGTTTAGTTATATAATCTTTATATGTTGTTTTAAGTTATACTATTATAGCATTCATATATTTCAGTTCAACAAATTGCTATTGATACTAAAGTATCATCTCTTGGAGCTTTGGCAATAGCTTATGAAAATTCAGATTCTGAATCTGAGTCAGAAGAAAAGACAATGGGCACATGTAAACCATGCGAGAAAGATATTCTGGTTGACAAAAAGCAATCTATAAAGGAATATAGAGTAACGGAACGAGCATCGTCTGATGATGAAAATGAAATGGATAGTGAAGAAGATTCTAGTAGTAGTAGCAGTAGTAGTAGTGAAAGTTCTGCAGATAGCGATGGTGACGCAGCATCACAAAGTGATGATAGCACAAACAGGTATAATATCTACCTAATAGTAATTCATACAAGTACATACAATCTCTGAGTAATACTAATTCATATGTTATCTAATTTTACCATTAGACATAAGAAAACAAGAAAATCAAAGTCTGTCAAAATAAAAGATGAAAAGGGTGAGCTGGATGATCTTCCACCAATCGAAGATTTAAAAATCAGTGTACCTGAAGTTCTCTGTGATCCATTGGGAGAGGTAATGTTTTAATTTTGTAATCATAAACATTGACAAAAATTACATTAAACATTTTCTCACACATCTAAAATATTGTTCTCAAGGTTGGTTGGATGGTGGATCAATTAGTAGTAGTTCGTCCTAAACCTGAAAAACCCACACTTAATCTGGACACAGTTCTATTTGTGGATAGAGGACGCAGAGTACTAGGTCGAGTGTTTGACGTATTTGGTCAGGTAGCTGAACCCCATTACTGTGTACGTTTCAACAGTTCTAAACATATTGAGGAATGTGACATAAAAGTAGGCATGACTGTGTACTACTGTCCAAACACGCCATACACAACTGTAGTCTTTCTACATGATCTGCTAAAGTGAGTTCTATCGATACTCTTAACTATAAATAATCTTGAAACTTGATTGCTTGATAAGTACTACAATGGAAAAAGAGTCACTTATAATTTTTTTGCAGGATGAAAGGGACCGATGTTGGCGGGGATGATGAACATCCAGAATTTTCGGATGACGAGGAAGAACGAGCTTATTACGAAAAATTGAAAAAACAGAAAAATGAAAAGACTAACAAGCAAACACCGGATGTTCCATCAAAACGAAAACGTAAAATAGACAATTCATTTATAATAAATAATGATATAATTATTCATCATATGAATTAATCTTAATCTTCAGGTTCGAATGCAGATTGGCAATCAGGTCATCCTTGGAGTAGCAACTGGAAATCTCAGAATAACGACCATGGAAATCAACCATATAATCACGGTATGACTGAGTGGGGTCCAAAACCCCGACAATCAAGTGCACATTATCCCCAAAATTCATGGCCTCGTCTGCCATTTCAAAGAAATCCTTGGTCGCAACAACATACTTTTCAAAAAAATACTTGGCCACATCCCACACCCATGCAAATGCACTCTATGCAAAGCGCTTATCCAGTACAGTGCAATACAGAAACTTCTGCGAATACATCAAATTCAGCACAGGGAACTCAACAGAGTCAATACGATGTCCAGTATTCCTTTAACCAACAGCAAAATCTTATGTACAAAAATGATGATGCTTATGACCAGTCACCACGATTTGGCTCTGGTTTTGAATACTATGCTTCAAGCAGTCCAAATACATTTTCATGCCCGCCAATGAGATTTCCTCGCATGCAGTGGAATTCACGACCAGCACTTCCTCCTGGACAACCAGGTATGCCGTGGCTTCCACTACCACCACCACCACCTCCACCGTGTACATAATTTCTACTTAATCACTCATTCAATTCAATCAGAACTGTTTTTCTAATTTCTGTATCCTGCTCTTTTAAGGAGTCTTGATTTCTATTATTAGCAAGAAAAACAATCTATCAGTGGTGGATTATAAATTTAACTTCTCTGTCATAACAGTGCATGTTGGGGCTCCGGTGCGATAATTCTATTAAGAATTATAATACAAGCCCGTCATTTACTATCGATCATATTAATCAGAGTTGCATAATATTGGATAAATAAAATTGATTAGAATTATATTTTGCAGAATTATTATTTTACATAAGAATCACAAGTATCGACAGGTATAGTCGATTTGCATACAAATTCAATACATATGTAAAATTATATTCTAAATGTTGTTTGAATTATTATAAATGTTGAGGCTCTATTCCTTTAAGAAATACATTTTGCTTATAACCACCAACATCCTGTTTTTCTAGTTCTTTATCAGCGATAGAAATATCGTTTTTTATTTCCCTTATCAGATCATCTTAAGGAAAGAAGATTTGTCTTGTTCGTTAATATAATATAATAAATCATTTACAAGTTACTCACCAACACAGGAAAAATTCATCTCAGGTCTTATGTAACCCAAAATAACAAGTCTGATTTCTTGGCCATACAAATCATGGGGGAATTTATGGAGAATATGTACCTCCTAATTATTAAGAAGTTACATTATAACATGTCAAAGTTTCTAGCCATTAGTAATAAAGTAGATATAAGATAAACTGAAATTCTCACATATTTAAATGATCCAATATCAATATTACCTACCAGAGATTTTTTTGTATTATTATAAAATGGGTTCCATCCAACATTTAGAACCATTTTATAAATATCCTTTTTATTCAACGAAGCCCATCCATAATAAACTCCTAATTCAAGTTCAGTAGGTAAAGCATCGATCACCTCTTGAGGTAAATTTGCTATAAAATGAAATATATTAATTGATAAATTCTATATAACACCTTAAATTATATTATATCACTCCAATTAGGTACCAGTTGGAATTCCTAATTCTTTCGATCCTCGTTGAAAACCTTTGACGATAGAACCCACAACAAAATGAGGTGATGCAAGTTTATTATTATTCATTATTATATAGACTTGTCTGCTTCGACTGATAACTCAGAAATGATTATAAATTATTGACAGTCGAGTTGAACGTACTGTGGGATTTAGATTAAATGTCTTAATCAACGCATCAAAAAGATAATGTATAATGTAATTCCACTGAATTTAGATATTGGTAGATCAACCCATTTATTATTATAAAACTCCATGTTTATTTCAAACATTGATATTTACTGTTTCTATATCTATTAACAATTATACATTCCACATGTTACAGGCAACTTAAAAAAGCGCTATCTCAACGATAAAGACAACAATTGCAAATAAAATTCCAATTATGTAAAGAACAAATACTGGAAACATGTGATCTATTTTTAATACAACGGGTGAATTATTGCTTCTTATATTTTTGAATTTGGAATCCCCATAAACATTACGTCTTATCTTTTCAGTAATACCACATTCAAACAATTGTGACACGACTAAATTTATATTGGAAAACCACGGTGATCCTTTTGGTAATTGATACTGTAAAGTATAATGTACTATTGGTTCTGGGATAATGTGAAGCTGTTTGGTATCCGGATTGTGTGTATTCATGTACTCGGTTGAGTCTCTGCTTTTAGTAATAGCGAATTCTTCTCCGTTCAATATACTTCTAATCTTCTCCATGGTCTCATTATTACTCACTACTGTAAAACGTTTCAATAATTGTCTAGATATCGTTGAATTATCCATTTGAAAGAACCAACAAGTAATCTTATCACCGCCAAATGGCATTCCAGATTCCAAGAGTTCTTCGAGACTGTATATTAAATTGTACTTTCTTGGTGTTGTTAGAAATCCAACCAAAATTCCTTGGTAGGCATTAGTAATGATTAGTGAGTAGACTAACCAAATTGATACTTGTAACTTAAACGAATTGTTATTCATTTTTACGGATGAGATACCAAGAAACATGGACCAGAGATTCAGCAGGCTATAAGTAGATCTAGGCACAGGCGTGACTCTCTTATATATCGTAACAATAAAACCAGTTAATATCCAAGATAAAATAATGGAGAACCACATGATGGTTGAAAATGGATATATAAAATTCTTCCAGTTAAACGATTCTACAAAATTCTTCATGACAAAATTGTAATCTCCCGTGAAGTAAAGTGATGTTCGTTCCAAAACGCTAGTTTCGTATATACTAAATCTTGATTGCACATCAGAAATGTCGACACTTCTGTTTATCAATAGTGCCATCCTTAGTGTAGCTGTGCCATTTTTTAATATCGATCCAACTTTTGAATATTCAGTCATTACCCAATCGATACGAAAATTGAGCGCATCGCTTAACAAACGTAACACAGTTGCCATATACTGTGATATCATAGTTTCACTTATTTCCTCAATGGTTCCATATAAATGCATAGGAATGGTTATATTCATGTGAAGGACACGTATTGGACATTGATGAAAATTTTTATATTTATCCGGAAAACACATTTCTTCATTCGTCCAGTCACTCAGTTCGTATATTTCAACGGATTTGCATACTCTCGGTGTAAACGGTGCGTAACTATACAGCACCACTTCATTGTTTGAATTGCAGCATATGAAAACTACGACACTCGTTATCCATTCGGTCCAAAAATAATTTAAAGTATCATTTGCCACTTTGAAAATGTCCTTTGGATGATAGCGACGTATTTGGATAGAAAAAAATTTGTCACGTTTATTTCCATCGTAGTGCGATATGTCGTCGGAGAAATTGAAAGTGTCCATGAAAACGAAATTATACTCTCCTGCGCGTAAAAAATTGTCTCTTAACAATATCGGATACATGAAACTCGCATTGATATTCATGTCGATCAATTTGTCCCTTTGAAAATGTAGCAAACATTTCTTTATTTCTTCACGAAGATTAATTTTCTCTAAAATATCTGTAGACTCATTTAAACATAGTTTTTGACTTGCTAAGCCACGAAAATCATTTTGAACACTTTGGGATATGTTCAATAATCTAATAAATACACTCACTATAACAGAAGCTGGATGCATTGTAAAGTTCTGAAGTGACTGATACTATAAAGTGACATGGAAATTCGACGTGATTTCTATTTATGACGAATCGGCTTGATTTTATGTGTTTGAGATATAGTCACCGTAATACAATTATAATGATGGGATTAAGATCATATCGTGATTCATTCTGATAAGGTTTGAAAATGTGATGACACCTGATGTATTTTTAATCGTAAAATAATGCCAGTACTACTTTATATTATATATGTATAAGTCAATACAATTTGAAATCATTAAACGATAATACTCGCATAAAATAAATAGTTGATTAATGAAAGGAATATTGGCAATATTCCTAAGGAATAAAAAGATTAACTCTTCTTGTTTATTATGAAGGAGAAACAGAAAGAAAAGCTTTCGCCATAACATACCGTATTATTATTAGGTCCATGGCAGGCTTTATACTTCCTGCTTTCGTATCTCTTAGTCTTCATTCGGCTACCCTTTGAGAGCCTCCATGACTGGAGCTCCTACCACGCAATCATGCCACGCTTTGATCAACTGCCAATTCCGTGAATCTCATTTTTTCATTTTAAGGTTTAAAACTTGTACTCATTTCAACTGCCGACTGCGGGAAGCATACGGGAGTGCCTACAGACAGGCGTAGAAGAGAAGTTATGTTTGTTCCTGTTAACTAATTATAAATTAGATTCACATATGATTTTTCAGCCATCCCAGAACTTGCAGAGGTTTCGTGCAAAATTATGTAGAGAAGATTTACTTCACCTAAAAAAAATCATCGTTACAGAAGATACTCTAAAATGAGTATTATTTTTATATTAGTATACAATCATCTTCAAGTACAGTAATATATGAACGTGGACAGCATTTGATCATTTGAGCTAAAGTGTGCCAGGGCAATTAGAATGCGCAACTGGAAACAGCACAGGAAATACCATAAACTCATTATCGAGAAGCTTACAGTGAAGCTGGATAACGCAGGTGGCTCTGTCAAACATGAAGTCAAGCAATGAATTCTGATTGATTTTGATTTAATGGGAATATGAAGTGTCCAAGGTAACGAAATGTCTAAGAAACAATCAAATTATAAGCGCCCTGCGCATATTTAAGAATATGGCTTCGAAATGGCTGCGCAATGACTAAAGACTGAATGCCAGGTACGGTTCAATCTCTATCGAGTGGCGGCGCCACAGCGCAAACAACCTGTCGAAGCGAAGAACGGCATATTTATGATGTGATTTCGGGAGTAAATTCGATGAATTTTCGTCGATATTGTGCACAGCATTCGTTCCTGATCCTGTCGTGGTATGAAAGAATACATACTGTTTAATCAGCGTTTCATATATTAACCAACGTCTCTCCTAAATATTCATACTCGTAGCATAGCTGTGGTAACTAGGCGTTGCTGTCACTTGGCTTCCTGTGGCCCATTTCGTTTTTCCCAAATTTCCAACGCTTCTTTGACCACGATGATGTTGACCTCGTGGCCGTATCCGAGAACCGGATCTATTATGTGGATGCTGGGCATATGACGATCCGTTTATACAGTGGAAAAGTGTGTTGCTTGTACCAGTAAGGATTCTTGCTAAGGATATTTTATAGCCCTGCAGATCTTACTGTGGTATAGATTTTAAGACTGCTGAAGTCTGAAGTTGAAGCTGTTTTTCTTAGACAACTGTTGAGATTGTAAGTATCAAAGACTTTGGATGAGGTAACGTCATCTCTATGATCTCTGTCTCTATTTCAGGAATTGTACAGTGTCTATGAAAACATTTTAAAGTGAAAATGTTTGCCAAGAAAAAGAAGAAGCCACAGATTTCTACTCCTACCAATTTTGAGCATAGAGTACACACAGGGTTTGATAAGCGTGAGGGGAAGTTTGTGGGACTTCCTTTACAATGGGCATCTATCGTTGGGAATAATCAAATTCTCAAGTCCAGTAATCGGCCATTGCCTCTGGTAGATCCCAGTGAAATAACACCTACAGACATTCTTGATTTGAAGACTATTGTGAGAGGTCATAATGATTCAAAAATTGCAAGATTGGGAGAGAAAACTGCTGAGAATAAACTTCCCAAGACTAGCACAGTTGCCAGATCGAATTCGCTGCGATCATCAAGCCCACCAAGACTTAGAAGAGACTACAGGTAATATAACTATTAAAAATATTACTAATAGTTTAGTATACAATGTTTTATAATTTTTAGAACTAATTCAAACCTTCCGCCATCTGTGCCGGAAGGCCAAGAGATGTCCTCCAGTCCAGGCCAGATGCAGGCATATCCCACATTTGGAAAACCACATGGCTATCCTGATAGTCTAAGACAGAATTCACCAAATATGGCTCCTGGCTTAAATCCTAATCTCCAAAACCTGATTCCTAACTTGCAGAATCTCAATCCTAACATGCAGTCTTCGCCAAATTTGACTCACCTAGGTTCGACTGCACAAAACATGTCTCTTAATTTCCAAAACTTAAGCCCCATTCTCAACCTACAGGGCCCCACATCAAATCCGAATACCCCACAGATATCAGAGCATGATTTCCAAAGGATGAATCCACCACCAGCCATATCGTCGAGTCAATTCAATGGGAATATACCTGTGAGTAATAGTATCTTCAGGAATATAGATAATCTAATCTATCGTATATAGCACTCATAGCTTTCATCTGATACTTGTTAAAGCATAACTTAGATATCCAATGAACCATATTTTGCGTAACGAAAAAAAGACGTGTATTCCTCTAATATTCCAGGTACCTAACATCGACTCCTCTTCACGAGATCATCAAATGGCACAAAACGTGCTGCTACATAAACTGCAGCCCAAAGTTTCACCAGTTGGTTCAATAGCCTCTCAACGCCCATTGAGTCAACTAAGCTCACACAACGTGAACAAACATTCTCAAAACTATGGGATTAGCGAAAACCCACCGAATTTACACGCTCACTTCCAAAAACCAATAGAAAGCTCGCAATCTATGCATAATCTCTCAAAATCAGTTGTCACCTCAACAGTTCCTGGTGTCAGTTCAACTCCGGATCAAAACCAAAACATGAAAGCCGCAGTATCTTCAGGAAACTTAGCCGCTGCTTCTGGAACAAACAATGCTAACAAACAAAGTGCTGAACAGAGACTGACACATGAGCAATTTAGAGCAGCGCTTCAGATGGTTGTAAGTATTTAATTATTTTCATTAAATAATTACCATCTTACTTATATTACATATTATACCAATGATATAATTTTTAGGTAAGTCGTGGTGATCCAAGAGAAAATCTTGAAAATTTCCTGAAGATCGGTGAAGGTAGTACAGGGACAGTTTGCATAGCTACGGATAAGAGTACGAATCGTCAGGTAGCCGTGAAGAAGATGGACTTGAGAAAACAGCAGAGACGAGAACTACTTTTTAACGAGGTTGTCATAATGAGGGATTATCATCATCCTAACATAGTAGAGATGTATGATAGTTTCTTAGTAGATGATGAACTTTGGGTCGTTATGGAGTATTTGGAAGGTGGAGCTTTGACAGATATCGTAACACATTCACGCATGGATGAGAGTCAGATTGCTACAGTCTGCTCACAGTGCCTTAAGCCATTGGCGTACTTGCACTCTCAGGGTGTTATCCACAGAGATATAAAATCAGATTCAATCCTACTGACAGCCGACGGGCGTGTTAAACTATCTGACTTTGGTTTTTGCGCTCAAGTCTCTCAAGAACTACCAAAACGTAAATCTCTTGTAGGTACACCATATTGGATGAGCCCAGAAGTGATTTCCAGGTATGATATATTAAAACTATTCACTGACATCATTCCATTCAGAATAAAAATTATTAATTGCTACATTTGTTATAGGTTACCCTATGGACCTGAGGTTGATATCTGGTCACTGGGTATAATGATCATAGAAATGGTAGACGGTGAACCTCCTTTCTTTAATGAACCTCCTCTTCAAGCCATGAGACGTATCAGAGACATGCCTCCTCCAAAGCTGAAAAATTCTCACAAGGTAGATCCTCTTGTCACTTTTAATAAATCATACATTTCACAAATTTTTAAAGATTTGATTAATAGACTATATCGTTACAGGTTAGTCCACGACTTCAGGGCTTCCTGGAGAGAATGCTGGTTCGAGACCCGGCCCAAAGAGCCACAGCAGCAGAATTGTTACAGCATCCATTCCTGAGACAAGCTCAGAGTCCCAGCATCCTGATACCGCTAATGAGAGGAGCAAGGCATACCAATTGCTGACGAGATGTTATGAAAAAGTCACAGTTTTCATGGAAAAAGTATCATCGTTAGTATATGATATCTATATTGAGGTTACGTTTATTTATAAAGAAGAAGAAACATTATGCCGCGTGAAAAACCTCGAGAATTCGAGGCATGTACTTTATCCGGTCACTATGACTTAACATTCCATTTGTGACACAAAGACATTAACCTATACATTAAATTTGAATGTTTGCACCGAGTGTGATTAGGAGCTAGCAGGTGTGTAGACGATAGTGCACTGCATTAAAATATTAACTAAGGAATTCGTACCCAAGTGCCTTGAGATTAAGAATTTTTTTCTTAAATATAAAGGGTGTATATATTGAAATTTAATCCGTTACTAATCGATTTTCGATTCTATGAGGAATTCAGAAAGTGACTTAAATGAAATAATAATTTTATCACTCAGAATCGAATATCGTATACGTTTCTGTATCCAGCTTGTTAAAAAAAAATGATATCAATTTGAGATTCTGTTACAAAGTCAATATCAATGTTTACTTCAATTGGAGTTCTCTATGATTCATTTATCATTAGATATAATACGAAACACGTTAATGTTTAATTATCCACCAAAGGCAGTTCACTTTGTAAACATGTCGCTCGGTACTTTATATGAATATTATTTAATAGTATTATAATAACAGGCAGTTCAAATTGACTTGACCAGATTAACTGGTGACAATTAACACATGCCGGGACTGATAAATAATGAATTGACAAGTCGGAAAGACTGATCGAATTCTTTTCTGTGTTTCTCCTGGTCCTTTTTAATATCCAGCTGTGAAAGTATCAAGGCAGCTCAATTATAAAATGATAAGTATTAAATGACTATCTTATATTAAGTTATACAATAATTTAACCACGAGTAAACTGTTTTATTAAAGGATCATCTTTACATGGGTCTCAATACAAGAGAGTCCCCTAGATCCTCTATTTTACTTGTGAATCGATTATATTAATGATGATTTCAATATAAATTTTACTCACGAATATAATAACGTTAAAAAAAGATATAAGAATGATAATCATGCGAAAAAACCCATATGCTTTTCAATGGGTATGTTAATACGTGTACAGGATCTTATCAAGTTTCATGATAACGAATTTGTACTCAGATTTTAAAGCGCTCGAGTAGCACTAGTTTGTGTGCAGCTTGAGAAAAACTATCAAAGATCTTAGCGCATAATCCTACCAAACAGAAGACAAGAAAAGAAAACGATACGACATAATCCTGCCAACATTCATTCCATTTTGATATAAGATATCGTGATGAAAATTTAAAAAAAAAGAATGTAATAGAAAAATTTAACATAGTCTTGCCACGTAACGACTGTACCGAGTGGCTGTTAAAAAAAAGACAAAACATTCGTCACCTTTCTCAAATGCATTTCTAAACGTCGAGTTAAGGCCTTTGACTTATTGGACATTTAAGGCGGTTCGATGATGATAATTATAATGGTAATAGGTATTCATAGATTAAAAAGTCTCTACAAAAGATTCAAGATTTTGAGTTCAAAAATTAATCAATGAAAGCGTTAATAGGAAATTTATCGTTAAAAAAATAAAAATATTGAATTTTCATGTTCCCATTTATGTATCCAGTATATTTATATAATGTAAATGAACACTGCGTTTTTCTATATCAAGAACTGTACGCTAAATCTCATTCAAATTGTGCATAGTTCGAAATGAAACTCTTAACTAACATCTACCTACATAAAATTTGGTTTTCTCTTGAAATGTCTCTAATCATCGAACCATCTTAAGGCATAAAACAAGTATGTAATTGCCGTACTATTGCATCTACCCACGGAGTACAATGATATAACACCATGTAAATAAGTATAAAGTTAATTAATAATAAATATATACCGAAAAGTTCGACGCCAATTGTAATAGTTGAAATAATTTATCCCAATCTTGAAATTTATATATCCCCAAAAGAATATCAAGTGATTTTGTACAGTTACAAAAAATCCATATATCTTATCACTGATTACGTAAAAATGACAACAATTTTACCGACATGGCGTGACTGGTACTCTCAGACAAACAATACTCATCGTCAGAACTGGTAAACAATAAAACATTCGTAAAACAATCGTGCTGAAAATTATGTCAAAGTAAGAAAAGTAAAATATAATACAGTAACATCTCTATGACGTTCATTCGTCTCTTTAAACAAAACATGCTGTACATACAATATCTCCATACTATTCGTAGTTCACCTGTTTGAAAACTTGTGACTGAAAGAAATACTTCTCTTTTCTCGTCGAGGGGAAAAGAATGAAAAGCGTCATTACAGTTTTCATTGACAATAGACACAGAGTCAAGGTGTTTCGCAACGAGCTGCGTAATATTCATAACCCCAGACATATTTGTTCAAGAATCAACAGCTTTCCTACAATTGATTGATAATAAGATATTTACAATCTTACCAAAATAATTAAGGAGTACACTCTCTTTTTCCGATATTATTCTATTTTCGAGATTTCATTAAAAATATTTGTCAAGAATCGCGCAATAACCGTAACTTTTTTAAAAATGCAATGAAACAAACAGCACGTTTACGCACGTTTTTTTCTCTCACTTTTAAACAATAAAAAATCACATGTTCTTATCAAAGATCAAAAGTTTATCAACCAAGCATTCTTTAAATTCTTGACAAGAGAGGCTATCGTGGCAGCACTACGTAGACGGATATTAATATATCTTAATCTATTGTTATTAACGTTGACTTCGTATTGCGTATTGCGCAAAATTATCCTGATAACTTTATTACTCTTGTTTTAATCATGACAATAGCAGCAGCGTTCTTTGTCACGCGTAAAACATTTGCATATAAGTACAATGATCATGGTCATGGTCGTGTGCAGTTCGAGGATATCGAACGATATCGATATATATCGAAAAATCTGATGTATCTGCAGAGTATTTCATTTTACTCCTGGCGGAACATCATCAACAGATGATATTGGATCAACAAGTTCCGCATTGTCATCATCCAGTTTTTATCACCTACTAGTTTTTTTTATCGACTATCCCCATGGCTGATGTAAGTCCAGCATCAGAAAGCGTTTACAGTTTTTTAAATACTGATATCGACTATTATCACTTTAACAACTGTCATAATGTCTCTTATAATCGTGGAAATGTCAATACAGACATGTATATGTATATATTTACCTCATAATGTCAAAGAATTTGGCGAAGATCTATAATTATATTTTTAAAATAAAAAAACAATATGAAATAACAAAGCTATTACCCCCTGAGCATAACCTTCATATCTCTCGAGATTGTCACCGTGTTATTTTGTATAGCCAATACAAGAAGTAATCTCGTCGATATCTTATTTAATAAGATTTATCTATTTGTCATCTAGAAAAACTCATCTTCAACACATTATTTTCGTATCCAAGATCTTCTCGGCGTGCACGGCTTTACTCTTTTATAATCTACAAATTTGAGCTAAATCAGAAAACGCAGAAGAATGTTTCATCATGCTTTGAATGATTGGATCATGTCCAGCGCAAGGGTAGCGCTGACACCGATGATTGGGAGGATTTGCGGGGACAAAGATGATGTAATTCAACATGGTATAAGTAACAGAGATTGCTGGGGTATCAAGTCAGTTGTCATCGAGCTCTCGAGATTTTTGAGCATCTTCATTATTCCTCAAGATAAGCAGCTTTTAAGTACAAGGGTATACATAATCTTTACTGTTAAATTCCTTTAAATATTTATCATTTAAAGAACTTGTCAGTCCAACGACAATATATCAATAGCAGTATTGCCAATCGTAATAAAAAAAAAACCAGTATAAATTTCGATCAAGAACCTTATTCTTCTTTTGATTATATAATTCGTAAAGATCCATTTGGATAGTGTCTTATATAATATTACATAGGCCAGAGTACAGGGCAGAGATTACAAGAAGAAAGTAATTAGCATATCTTTGTTACATAGGCTTTATAATTCTCAGGTGAAAACATGATGGACTCTGTGTTTCGTACTCGTTCCCTGGGAACAGCAGCAGAAGGTGTTCGCGATCAGTACGCAGATGGTAAAGCAGCCAAGATATGGGAAGTCTTCATCGGAGACAAGAAGCAACGTACGCAAAACTACAAAGACTTCCTAGTGGGTCTTCTACGGGAGAGAGGATGTCACAGAATACTTGATGTAGCTTGCGGTACCGGTATAGATTCCGTGATGCTCCTGGAGGAGGGTTTTGAGGTCGTCAGTGTTGATGCTTCTGACAAAATGCTGAAGTACGCTTTGAAGTCAAGATGGGAACGTAGAAAGGAACCTGCTTATGACAATTGGAGTATGTAAACCTGATGAAATTTTTTTTAAACTGCATGCGAAAGTGGTATTGGAAAATTTTTAATTGATAAGACACAATACTCTGATAAGCTTCAGTACACGCAAGGACAAGAAGAAGACAAAAAAAGTTTTAGAAGGTTATCCGTCTTATCATGGAAGGTCAGTTGATGTGCTAAATGCTGACGATTTTATCACGAATTATCATAACTTTCTCTTGATTTATGAAAACCGTTAAAGAGTTCCTGGACACGCGAACGGCTCTAGTAATTTTTTTTGTTATATCGAATTTCCGATAACCAGGGACGAAAACTCTGAAGGCGCCGATGAAGCGAACAAAGAAAGAAGGGAACAAGATAGAAAACGTTAAACAGAATTGATCCGTGACTCAGACGTGATTGGAGAAATGCTATAAACCAAATAATACTGGTTGAATAACTGGCTTGCAATATCTATCCAGTCTATTCTTGGTCGGTTAATCAATTTACAAAATAGCCAACCGAAGAATAATAATTTGCAGTCCTGGGCGGGTTTCTGGAACAGATCTTGCTCTGTGATTCTTGCTGCAAATAGTTTAGCATAAATACGACTGAGTTCTTAATCTATTTTCAGTTATTGAGGAAGCAAACTGGCTGACTTTACCGAGCGACATTAGCCACTTGATTGGGGATGGTTTTGATGCAGTTATATGCCTTGGCAACAGTTTTGCTCACATGCCAGACTCCTTTGGCGATCAAAGAGAACAAAGGTAAATATACAGAAAATATTTTTTAATAAAATATAATTAAAAACAAGGAGAACCAGATGCTAAGTACGTTTTTCATTTCAGACAAGCACTTTCGAATTTTGAACGTTGCGTGAAACCCGGTGGTCTTTTACTGATTGATCATAGAAATTATGATTATATGATTGAAACTGGGCAAACGCCCTCTAAATGCATATATTATAACGTAAGTAATCAATATTCGTCAGTGATAAATTATTAAATAAACCAATTCATTAGAAAAATTTGTCAACTTGCTTTCAATTATATTTTCAGAGTAATCACATGACCGATATCAAGACCTCTGTGTTATATGTATCTGGCAAGCCTGCCATAGTTACCCTGGATTACCTGATAAATCTGGACGCATCCGATCCCGAGAATGTTAACGAGTTCAGATTATCTTATTATCCCCATAGATTCGAAGTTTTTCGTGAAATGTTGGAAGAGGCTTTTCACTACAGAGCCAAGCACACCATCTATGGAGATTTCAAATCTTTGGACAAGGTCAAATGCCCAGCCTTCTACATCCACGTCCTGGAGAAACAGCCGTATCAGCAAGACTAAAAAGAAAAGACATCAAGAATGAATCTTTATGCAAAACAAAAGTCACAGGACAACCTGTACCAGACTCTGCGTCCGGTGATATGCGCAGATTCTATGCGCTATTCTCACTTCCGTAGAAGTCTCTTTCGAAGACGTGAACGTAGACAAGACGTTCAGGAGTAACATGAATAATATACTTATACGCAATGTACTATTCTAAGGTTAATACAATGTAAATAGGATTTTTTCTATATTAAAAGAATAAATACACAGTTTCGCATTGTCGAGCGAAAATCAATCAAGTTTCAGACGTTTTTATTATAAGTTTTGAAAGCAGTTTTTCATTTTGAGTATTCTAGCCAGGCTTCGTTCGATGCTATAATTTGATCTTTCAAGGGTTTCTCGAACGATCCTCGCTGGCAAACAACCAGTCGCTATATCGAAATAGCCGCAGCGCACTTCACGTTGTTTCGATATATTCTCGCGCACAGCCTTTTTTCGGGTACGTGTGCACATGATTGCATGCTGATCAGTGTACTATGCATATGTACGATTAAAATAATAATAATAATAACGTACATATATGTATACGCGAGTGAACGAGAAAAAGGATAACCGTTTTCTGCCATCGACGACCGTATCGTGTTATTCCATTCTAACGTTACTGATTTCACTTTCTCTCTCTCTCTCTATTCTTTCTCCATCGTTTTGTTTATTACCTCCTCGCAATTCACTGTCACGATTTTGATCAAACCCTTGAATAATGGCCACGTCGCAAGAAAACTTGTTTGGAAAAAATCTGATAGCGACAATTTTCAATGATTTACTACAAAGAGCCCGAAAGTGCTCCGCCTTGTATTTTCCTGAAATTTTTTGTTGATGCTGAAGCCATTCGCCTTTCTCGCAACGTCCAGGTGAGGCAAAGTAATTATCCTGTCATACCTGTGTCTATGAGTATTCCAGTAACGGATCTTGCAGGAGAACTCTCGGGCGATGACGGGGACGAGATTATAAGGTCGAGGATTCTTGATAGCGCAACGAACTGCCCATATAGAAAAATGGACGAAGTATTAGTTATAGCAAAAATTCCCCCCTCCCTCCTCCCCCATTTTCACCGTCTAATAATTTATGTATATATGTACACACATATATATGTGTATATATATACTTTTTTTCCGCATCATCCCTCAATATAACAACTAATTAGACACTCGACAAAACCTTCCACGAAGTTCTACGGTCACGTCATTTTTTAAAATTTGTTCTCAACCGGAAACGTCGACGTTTAACGTTCTCATCGTCAAGTGTCATCATTCGAGTTCAATTCGATCGAATAATCCGGGCAGCACACGTACTTTTATTAATCATCCTTGTAACTCGGATTTTAACCTAACCTAAACTTTTGATAGAATTTTCACAAGCATGAAATTTTCATGAACGTGCATATTCATTAATAATTTCCAAATGGTCGAATGGTCGAATATCATTGAATAACGTAACAGAACTCTAGCTGTATCTACCGATGCAAACTTGAATTATTAAAAGCAAGAGGATTCAATAGCAATGGTAATTTACGTACGCGTGCATCTCTGGACGCGGAAAATAATAAAAATCGATTCTCGCTACCCAGGTGCGAGCCTCTCTCGTTCGTTCGGCACTATAACCTAAAACGGCGCCATAATTCGAAACGACCTTAATAATTTTTTTTCATTTAAGTACACTTTTGTTAAATGACGCAAAGCGATATTAGGGTTCGCGTGTAACGAGAGAATTTCGCAACGACCAACTAGTCGTTTAATTGGATTTTGTTCTTTTACTATTTATCCTGTTTTTCTCTTTTCTTTTTACTATTCTCCAAGTCTACCGGAATTTTCGAAATTGCCAATGACGAACTTTTTGAAGATGACACTCTTTCGTATCTCTTTCTTCTTGTTCCCATTTCGTGCTTTTTTCTTTATTTTTTTTTTTCGTTTCTCATTCTCTCTCTGTGTCTCTCAACCACATGCTCTCACGCTCTCTCTCTCTCATTTTCTTCCATTCCTACTACTTTCTTCTACTTTTTCCTACGTGCACACCGCGTGGGCACTTCTTCCTATGTACAATTGCAATTACTCGCTCCTGGCAAGGCGCAATTAAAACGATCGCAATACCCGTGGAATAATCGTGAACCGCTCGTCGTGCGAAAACTTGACGTATATCATAACCAATAATAAAGTACAAAGTACCGCAGCCAATTCCATGAGTGAGTAACAGTTTTTCTCTTCTATAATTAATAAATTACAAACTACAATCGTTTTTCAAACTTTTCAGCTTCCAATCAGAAAATCTCGACGACTCATAATTTCGTTAGGCCACGTCAATGGCTGACGTAGAAATTAATTAAGGAACAGAGAATATGAAAATAACAAACTGCCAATAAAATCTTTGATATACATATAAACTCTCACGTGATTGGCTGACGGTCCTTCACCGTTGGCGGTTACGGCCAATAACGAGAGATATCCGCGAACGTTAAATCTTTCGTAAAAGTTTGAACAGCGACAGTGGAATTTTGCAATTTCTTTTTATACAATGCATAATGCGTCAACGGCACGAGATATACATATGTAAGTGGCAGGACTCGGATTTCGAGGCGACATGTTTTCTTTATCCTTTATCCCTTATGTCATCCGACCTGACCACGTGATTCCCCGGTGCACCGTATCTTTCGATGACGTCACTCAAAAAGTCAAGACCTCGCAAATGGCGACCGCGGCCGCAAGCACGAGCGGATTTATCAGGCTGCTAAAATCGTTCAACGGCGTTTCAAAGTTTCGCAATTAGTATATAAACTACGATAGAGCCAGCTATATCGTCTCTGCATCCTAAAACCTAATTAACAAATTTGTTACTTGTTTTTTCCTCATTTTTTCCCTTCTCTCTCTCTCTCTCCCCCCTACAACATCATTTTCGACGCCTCATATAACTTTTTTTTCATTAACCACCCTCTTATCAATTTTTTGTTTGTTATCATACAATCTTTACCGCAACTCTCTGTAATCTCGATAATTCCACTTTATACGATAAAAAGTAATAACTTTCTCTCATCCATCTTTTATCTGTACAATATGTATATGCGTAGATATATATACACCCAGTGACTGTGTGTATATTTATTCATATGCATTTAGATTCTCTCATTATATCTTCTTATACATATATACCCATTGCACAGTACGAGCTATGACTTTCGTTTTATCATCTATTAACACCCGTGAACCGTCATGATCGATTGAACTGATCGATTACTCATACGATATATATTTTTTCTTTTTAATATATCGATCCTTTCACTGACTCAGGTATCGAAAACTTACCGGAAGCGATACCAGCGACGAATCGAAATTACGGCGATCCTGCGCACTTTATATCCGTTTTTCTTATTATATTCATTTTTCATTCATATATATATATATATATATATATATATATATCTATATATATATCTATATATATATATATATATATATATATCCATATTTTTTTGCTGGGAGATACTTTGGGGACGATCCATTTACGAAATCGCTATTTTGAGGACAAGTGGCTGTTTTGGGTATCATAAAGTCTCACCTTTTGAGGACCATAAAGTCTCACCAAATTGATTTATATTTTTTCAATGTTAGGCATCCAGTATTTGTGATGGGCTTAGAAATGTTTCGTTAGGTTAGATTAGGTCAGCACTCCAATGCTGTGATGTCCCAAGGGAGTAGTTTAACAAAAAAACATTAGCTTGCTATTGTGAAAGCCCCTTGACTTTTCGTATCCCCAAAGTATCTCTTTGGCAAACGTATATATATATACATACATATACAGTGTGTCCCAAAATTAACTGACCAACGGGGTATGGCGGTGTTCGGGAGGCACCACTGATCACGAAAATGACCTTCCTTTTGTCCGGAAGTTCATAGTTTTTAAATGGGAGCAGGTCAAAGACGACCAATCAGAACGAATATACAGGGTGTCCCAAAATTACCTGACCAACGGGGTATGGTGGTGTTCGGGAGGCACCACTGATCACGAAAATGACCTTCCTTTTGTCCGGAAGTTCATAGTTTTTAAATGGGAGCAGGTCAAAGACGACCAATCAGAACGAGGCGTCAAGAGAAACGTAGGCACCTACGAACACTTGAGTTTTCTTCCCTGGCTTTTGTTTCTCGGTAACTTGTTTCTTGTTTCCAATAGGCATGTCTTCGGCTGACGTCATCCTGCCCGAAGCCACCGAGAAACAAAAGCGAGGGAAGAAAACTCAGAGTTCGCAGGTGCCTACGTTTCTCTTGAAGCCTCCCTCTGATTGGTCAACTTTGACCTGCTCCCATTTAAAAACTATGACCTTCCGGACAAAAGGAAGGTCATTTTCGTGATCAGTGGTGCCTCCCGAACACCACCATACCCCGTTGGTCAGGTAATTTTGGGACACCCTGTATATTGATTCTGTCTGCCTTTCTTTCTCTTTCCGTGCTCCAAAAAAAAGATACTCACAACCGAACCACGAACGATCCATCCTCGTTAATCGTGAACTATATAATCCTTCGGAATAATTTTGTTTTATCGTATATAATTATATTATGTATATATGTATATATATCTAATATTGCTATGTTTGGCTCCCGTATGTGCCTGTATGAGTACGCGGGCTTAGGTCCTTTTCTTGCGTGACGAATCAAACCGCGCCTCGGAAAGTCACCGACTTCCGGCTCGGGCAGAATCGCGAAAAGCGTCCCCTGAGAATTTCAAGCGAAGAAAGAGGAAGATACGAGTAGAAGAAGAAGAAGAAAACAGTAATAAATAGGAACAGAAGCAATAGCAAGGACGTCGGAGTAAAATAATTAATGGCTAAAAATAAAAAAAGGACACGTGACGAGACGCGGTTTTTTTTCGCGCTTCTTAAAATTTATATGCGATCCAGCCGGGAACGCTATTATCCTGACAAGAATATTCGGACCAATCAAATCGTTCTCTCTCTCTCTCTCTCTCTCTCTCTCTCTCTCTCTCTCTCTCTCTCTCTCTCTCTCTCTCTTGCACGCATTCACTCACTCGCACTCTCTCACACTCTCAGCCCATCCCCGGAATAGCGAACACAGCCAGAGTAACAATTCATTACCAAAAGTCTCCTAACTAGCCTATCGTTAATTAATTATAGACATACAGATCCACGAGGAGATCCGTTTTCTCCGAAGATAAGAATCCTTCCCTCTCTTTCTCTCATTATCTCACGTTCAATTTCGTATCTCGTTCGCTCGAGACATCCAATAGAAAAGACTTTTAAAAAGCACTCACTCGTACGAGCGAACGTCAGCCCACTGCTCAGTACCACCTTACTCGTCTCCATTCTTAATTTCCATAAAATTCATCTCCTCGCGTCTACCATACTCTTCGTATGAACCTTGACGTTTCACGTTCGCCAATTGAATCAACCTTTAAAACCAAGCGCGAGCGACGTCCGCTCGAACGTATACAACAAGCCTACCGCTCATTAATATATTAATAATTAAATTTTATTCCTCCTATTGCGTGTATTTATCTATTGATAAACGTAATATCGTATTATTCTTGTAATACTTCGATGTTTCGAAAAAGAAGCCGTCGCAAGCGATAAACGTGAATTTAATTGTTTTCTTTTTTGCGGCCATGCAAAAATGTGTTTCGTAGTTATACTGCGTGTTTACCCTTCCTCGTCGTCCCCCCCCCACCCTCCTCCAAATGTTCTCACGTATCCCTATCAAAATTGTTCACCTGTATATATTATCTGTATAGCGTTTCATTATTTTTTTTGTTTGTTTTTTACTTATAGATACGAGATCTCGCGCGAAGCCTATAGCGAAAATGCGATCGCGAACTTGCACGTTAATATTACTGCGAGTGCCCAAGGTCTGTCGCCTCAGGTTAAATCTTGATATAAAGTATCATTAGAAATTCGCGTTAAGCGAATTCCTCTGTATGCTTACGTTTATCGCGCACGAGGTATTTTCCTTTGGTGCCAGAGAAGGCGTTACTATGAATTTTAACACGGTTACCGATCGTCGTCGATCGCATGGTTCCACGTGACCTGGCGCACCCGGCTTGGATAATATTGTCCCTAGTAGGCACGCCGAAGACGAGCAACAAACCGTTATCACTCTGTCCAATTCGCCGAGGTGTCTTCATCGTGTGAGAGACCCCGTCGATCCTGATAATAGCACGTCCATGCTCTGATGATAGAATCTGGAGTCGCAGACGATGGATGATATTCGGACGGTCACAATCAATATGTACACACCCGGGTAAATTGAAGCAGGAACCCGAGTGATCAAACCGCGATGATGATTGGCGAATGAGATGATATCGCTTGAGCGAATTTTCATAAATACTCCCGTGGCCGAGGTGGAGGTCTCTTGCGTTCCAATCTCTCGGCTCTTTCGGTCCTCTCGGTCCTCTCGCTTCTGTCTCCGGCCAGATCGCGATCCTCGGTGCACTCGAGCATTTGGGTCGTTTCCGTCGGCTCGGTGGGACTGACCGGTTGGGTGACGAGGGGCGCGAGAGGCGCGGCACCCTTGTTGCGAGATTTACTTCTACGCTTCCGCAGGATGAGTGGTCCTAGGGCGTTACTTTCCTCCCTGGAGGTCGAGGCCTGAGTGAGCCTCTCCAGGAGTTCCTTGCTGACCTCCCGGGTGGGCTTGAAGTCGATGGAGCTGCCGCTTAGACGGTCCGGGTCCTTCGTCCTCTCGGGATGATGATGATGTTGCTCTTGGCTCTTGCTGAGACGCTCTGGTACCGCGGTGGATGTTTGCTCCCTGCTGGGATCCGCGGACGAGGACGTCGTCGCGACGGGGGTCGTCGAGCACGTGCTAACTGGAGTCTTTTGTTCCGCGCCACTTTTGTCCACTGTTTGCTGTTGCTGCGAAGACGTGGACACTGCTACCACGGCTGGTGGGATCCTTTGGGAAACCTGCGACGGTTGCTGCTGGGTTGGCGTCCCTGCCGTAGCCGGTGGACTAGCCGCCGGTAGCCGACCTATGAGATTCTGTAGCATATCTTCGATCTTGGCTAAGCGCTGATTCACACGCTGCACCTCGAGCTTCAGGTCGACCTTAACCTCGAGAACCGCTGCGAGAATCTCGCGGTCGTGGCTGGGCTGAGAGATCAGACCGCCGTCGTAGCTCTCCAGCCGTCTCAAGGACAGCTGCTTAGAATCTACGCCGAGACTCGCTGGTTGCGTCGGATGAGGATCTTTGAGGTGATCGGCGTCACTGACTTCCTCTATAGTGCCGCCCAGTTTACCCAGCTTAGGGAAGACCTTGTTGGTTCCCGCGCTCGAAGTCGGTCTCGAGTCCCGGGCGCTCAGGGATCTCTTGAAGGTGTCAGTTCCGGTTCCGGTATCGCTACCAGAATCCAAACTGGAACTTCCTGAAAATTGGAAAAAAACGACCTTTAATAAAATCACTATAATCTCTTACTGATAACATAAAAAACTCATCAACCCCCTGAATCTTCTAGAAGCTTTCAAAATGGCCGACGTCGGACGGCAAAATACCAAAACCACAAGGGTACCCATTTCAAATGAAACAGATAAACCGCAGGACCAAGATAATCAAAAAGTTCCCAACACTAGGCACAGGAACCAAAATGGCCTGGAGCACAGTAGAATCTCGACTGTAACGGATGTGAAACGGCCTGACCTCACCTAATTGTTTCTAAAGTACCGTCACTGTATAATTCCGCTTGAACAAAGCTACAACGTCGACCTGTACCACGTACAAGGCATCACTGTACCAGAAACCAAGAGCAGTAACGTTACGGCTAATATCCCTGCCTGATGATTATATAACAGGATAACTCACCCAGAAGACGTCCCCATTTACTAGGCCGTGCCCGACCTGTACTGTTTTCATCAGCCGACGAGAGTTTCCTGGAGTGCGAGGACTCGGCATCCTTACCATCCTTCCCGTCCCCTTTCTCGACATCAGCAGCGTGCCTCTCCCGTCGAAATCTGTGTCGCGAAAACGCAAAAAAAAAAGAAAGCAGAAAAAGAGTCATTTAACGTACGTCGTATAATCAAACGAGTGAGTCGAGCGGGTGGCATACCGGGAAACCGATAATATATGTATATTTATATATATATATATATATATCTAGGCGGCAGTTCAATTAGAATAATAATAATAATAATAATAACAATAATAATATAACGATAAAGACATATATGCTTCGTGGATCTTTCGATAACCTCGAAATAGATTTTTTTCTCTTACGTATCGTTACAAAAATTCGCTACGAAAAGGCTATAGGGTACAGCTCCAGCGGTGTTCACGAGCAACCTACGAGGTGTGCCTACGGGACTAAAATATTTCTGTGATAAGACGGTAATGGCGATTGTCATACGGGAAGTCACGAGCGATAGCGAGCGAAGTGTTGGAGAATAAAAAGAAGGAAAATTTCTAAAATATATTACAGGTTTGTTTGTTAATCGTTTTACGGTCATTTTAAATTTCCCGCAATCGCGGGGAATCACCCTTCGCGCTAACAACCGGAGCAGCCTATTTCGATCGTTCGCTATCGCTGCAACATAATGGTAATACAATAATAGCACCACGCTTGGAAACTGTCAGGGACATCGATCCTTTATGGAGTAGCGCGATTCCAACTGCAATGCCATTCCAGGTACTCGTGGATAGTTTAACCAGTTTCCAACTGAATCGTACTGTTCGATCTTCAAGTAAGGGAATGACACGTTATAGCTGCTGCGCGTAAACCGTACGAGAATCCGAGTTTAAATTAGTACGTCGATCGAGAATTGAAGTTATCGTAAATTTCGTATACATAAGCGTCAATGAAAAAAATATATATATACACAAAAGACAAGCTAACGATAATTTCCCAACGTGCCGCCATTAGTGTAATTGATATATAAAAAATTTGATTGTAGGTGACAGAGAGAAATTTGAATCCTAGAGTGTGTCCGTTACATGCATACCGCGTTGCGTATAAAATTCAAAAGAGAGTCGAGCCCGACAGCCCGTCGGATGGAACGAAGGAAATGATAATATAAGATCGTAATCGAACATCAGTCAACTGTCAAAACGACAGCACAACACTGTCGATCACGATTCATATATAACACATGGATATACCTGGATACGGAATCTGGTATGGAATTATTATTATGGATTTGAGTGAAAAAACCGTAATATATATAGACGATCCTGGCACTTTGTATACTAGTATAATATTATAAAATAAATAAACATATGCACATAACCCTCTAAAGGCGTATATCTTACAGCACTCTAGCATTCGTAAAATTGCGGTGATCGTTAAAATGGCAAGTATATAGGTATAGTATATTATAGACGCAATGTGATACAGGCCGCCATACGGATTCGAGCCAGGGTCCCTGAATGGCCAATTAATTAATCGAATTAACGAAGGAATAGAAGGGTCCTCGAAAGGGGGTAATAAGGTGAGGCTTGAAATACTCGTAAGAGGGTTGCAGGCTTATCGGGGTCCTGGCGTCGTTCCGAGAGGCTTCGAGTAGCGTCGTATAGGTGAGAGAGAAGCATCGACTCGAGCCGTATTTTCATACGAGATGCGTATGCGGTGTATATAATAATATACGAAGGAAAAACGTAATGCGCTAAACACGAATGATGTCGCATAAGAGTATTTATAATAATAGCAATATGTGGTATTTATATATCGGGTGGTTACGGAGTAACATGAGCAAGAATAAGGATACGAATATGTTGGGTGTTCATATATGGAAGACGTTGTATGCGCATATAATACGTGTGATTTATATACGTATATGAGTATTTTATATATATAGTATGATATATATTTATATATGAATAAGAGTATCAATATATATATGTAGTACGTAGCAGAGATGGTAAAGAAATTAAAGGGAGAGAAATAAATACGTAAGAAATGAAATTGCCTAAAACTTGGCCAGGGCGGCAGGACGTTCACGGTGAGCTCCTCGTCGGAATCCTGTGTCTGCCGACTAGTCAGGGCTCTCGTCACGTGCGTCTGGGGTTCCCCGTCGGTCTTGAACCTTTTCGGACACAGCCAGCCAAGCAACGATCAACAGTCACATCAAGAAATTTCCTCACCATTTTAGCAGTACGTGCGCGTTACGTGGCCAAAGACATATTAGGTGGATCAAAGTGAGATAGAGGAAGGTAATGTGTCCAGGATGGATATGATAAGAGGAAGAGAGAGAGAGAGAAATAGTGGAGAGACAGTAGAGGATAGGAAATGAATATTGAAGGGTCGAGGGTAGGAATCTGGAGAACGGTTAGGGAGTAGAAATCTTGTCTGATCTCGAAACGTGTAAAATGCCGCACGAGAGAGATTTGACAAGATGAAGATCGACGAAGAGATATAAACAGGAGCAAGAATCAAACCGATTGAACTTCGTTTAGGTAGAGCCTGTGTAAGACAGAGCACTGGGGCAAGTGAATGAAGAAGGATTCATTCCCTTTTTTTTTATCCTGGTCCGTTTCTTAGCTCCTGGTCCCGGTAATCGGGACGATTAATTGAGATAATAAGATATAGCCCAGAGATTCTTTCCGTTCACGGGACCGACGCGGAATTGGCCCTACCTCGAGAAGATCTTCCGCACGAGATGATCCTGCGTCTGATCCAGCTGCGGCTCGTTTTTCCTTCTCTCAGCCAATTCCTTCTCACGTCGGACATCCGCCACCTTCCGGAAGATCAGCTGAAAGACAAAGGGACCATCTCTGTAGGCCTTGGCTTATATTAATGGAGTAAGGCGCGAGTCGCTCTCTCTGGAATTATTTACTTTAACGATCTTGGTTTTCTATAGCGAATCAAGGCTAGATAACTGTTCGATTTACAGCCTGGTACAATGGGTAATATCTTTAATGTAAACGGACAACGGCGCACAGCACGGTTTATTATTAGGCGTTATAATGGTTGTAACACTGGATGCTGCAGATATACGGGTCTTAAGTTAGACCACGAAACCTCATCAGTTTCGCATTCTGGAAAATTACTCGACAAGACAATTTTCCCTTATTTAATAGTCCCATTATAACCTTAGTTCATAAAGCTCACGCTAAAAACCCCAACCTCTCATGTACCCTCATCTGAACTTTAATGTCTTTGTTCAGCATGAACCGAGTGTTCTCTCAAATGATCTTCCAGTGGAATACTCTCTGATGGAATATCTAGCTGCCGGCCATTTCCTTACACGGTGTTCCTCGTTATGATGACTATCGTTTCGCCAGTTAAGATATTTCTAGATAGCATGAATACTTTTATCTATAACACATGTCACTATATTATATTCTCCTGGGAGCATCACGGAGCATCACTTATTCTCTGTTTTTATTCTTCAGTGAACAATAGTCATGAGATACCACTCTACGTACATATATAATTTCCCTTGGCAATGCATCATGGTAAGTAGATTCAGGTGTATGTATGTACATACATAACTTCGTACTAGCCTCGACCTTGGCCATATTTCTTTCGCTGTAGAAAATCTCTTATATTGTAATAATTTGATATTATAAAACATAATGGAAGTATCTCTAACAGGCGCACAGATATAAAACGGAGCTCTGCCTACGTTAAGTGGGAGATTTTGCGCAGCCGAGCATGCGCCGGGATGGTAGTCGATACAGAAATGGTATAGAAAGTAGTATCGTTCTTATAACCTCAAAATACATACATATTTTATTTATCGTGACGGACTGCATACGGCCCCGAACCAGAATCGGGCGCGCAGTATTCTATTAGAACCGAGATGAGTTACGCGATCTGTAAATATTAGTACTTTAAATGTTTAGTGTACGAATTTTTTTCGAAGCTCGCCGAGGTTTCGCGCGAGGCCGTGAACAAGTGTATGGATAGCAGCTCGACGATCTGGGTGTATTTCTCAACTAAAGGTCTGTCAGGATAACTTAACAAAGTTTTTACTTCGCGTAGCCTTATAGGATTCTGGACCGTTTCTATATTGGTTATCAGTTGGTTCTCAGACGTTAACGAGAGATTCCTACCGGGTATCCTGAACCGTCTACGACGGGAATTTGGTTATTGGTCGATTTTTAAATATTCTCGAGTGTGATTTAAATTCCTGTAACATTTAATTTACTGTTTCTCCTCTTTTGAGAAGGAAATTATACAGTGAGTCCTTCGGTTTTAATATGATAATTGAATTTTGTATCGTTTTTTTTTAGTGGAATAATTATGTTTGTGTGAATTATATAGTATTTTGTTATCACTTCCAGTTGCTTAACTAATCATTAACTAGGCCTGGATAGGGATATTGATAAGAGATATTATCTTTTCAATCAGTAATTCAGGTTTAGATTTAATATATTTGCCGAGTAATCTATCTCAATGAAAGTTATAAGAGCTACCAGAGTAGGAGCATTTAGGGAATTCAGTGGGGTGCATTAATTGTTGTACTTTCAATTTTCAGATGGGTCATGTTTCCAGCAGGTCTGCTTCCTCGGCGAATATTTTGTCTGCCGACGAGCTGACATTGGTTGAGAATCTTTTCAAATCCATGTCACGCAGTTCTGGGTCTATAAAACGTGAGGATATATTCAAACACTGGTCTACGCATCTGGATGATGTGCTTCTGCAATTTGTTGTACGATTTCTCTGCCATGAACCCGGGAAGAAAGTTTCTGCTATAAACGGGGAGAACTTTGGACGTCTGTATGTATTTGCTGTTCGTGGCAGTCCTGAAGAAAGGACCAACTTGGTATTCGATGGCTTCTCTGAGGAGGAACAGAAATTTGAAATGCCTACTGCCACGTTCCTTCAGTATATTCAAGCTACAATCAATTCATATTTGAGACTGCAAAAGAACTATGGAAACGCACACTACCTCTCATGGAGCAGCATTGGCTGCACCGTCAATACCAGAAGGATAGGAATGTGGTCTCGGTACCTTTGTGAAGATATTATAAAATATGGAGATGTATTGACTGTTGACCAAATTGAAAATTGGTTTGTGCAAGCAGCAACCTTCAAAAAGATTCAGTCACATACCTTCCAGTGCCTATTCCTGGCCTCTCAGAAGAAAGGAGACAAGAATATAGGAGCAAAAATGAATGAATTGAATCTGCTACCAATCTGTCATGGACTTGAGAACATTCCACACTTTCCAAGCATCTTGGGTCTTGGTGACGTTCTCTTTCTAAATCTAAATCTGCCTCACGAGCTTTGCAATGAGTGGAGATTCCTATTTTCGAGCCAAGTACACGGAGAGTCATTTTCCACAATGCTAGGAAGAATCTCGATGCAAGGATCTACTATCATTATACTTCAAGATACAGATGACCATGTATTTGGTGGATTTGCTTCAGACAGTTGGATGCTTGGTCCAAACTTTATTGGAAATCAATCCTGCTTCCTATTCAAGTTGGAGCCAAACATCCTAATATTCCCATCAACCGGTTACAACAATCACTATCAATACCTAAATCTTCATCAGCAAACTATGCCAAATGGACTACTAATGGGAGGTCAGCTGAACTACCCTGGGCTTTGGTTAGACTGTGAATACGGTACGGGAAAATCCAGTGTATCCTGCACAACTTTTCAAGGCTACGTGCAACTCAGTGGCAAGGAAAATTTTACATTAAAACATTGTGAAGTATGGGGCGTTGGACCTCTTCCAGAACCTGAAGAGGACGTCAGGGAATCCAAATCTATCCTGGACCAAGATCCTGCATCTAAAGTCATGCTTGAGCTAGCAGGTCGTAAAATGCATAGTGAAGGTTTACGAGAAAGAAAAGATTAATTATAAATTGTTCTCAGTCTTCTATAACGTAAATATCTATTTATTTACGATTCACCGAACATAGCAATTTTTTCGATGAATCAAGTAGGAATGTTATTCGAACTTTCATCAAATCTATGGAAGAAATTACTATCAAAATACTACTATCATATATTTCATTCGAACTTGACTGTTATTAATAAGACGTGTTAATTGAATCTTCATATCGAAAAAAAGAAAGAAAACGAAATATCTCGTTCGAATTTCGTAAACAGCGAATACTACTTTGGTAAATTAATTGAGGGCGTTTGCAATAAATAGTCGAAACGAATTATACAGATAAATCTTAACGTTATGTATCTAGATAATTTCTATTGACAGCTAAGTTATTTAATACTATAATCCTTCGTAAGAAGTTACCGATAACTCGGTATACAAATAACGGCCTGACATGTTAACCGAGACTTATCTCCTGTTGTGAATTTACTATAAAGAAACTTTATCTGGCTATATTGAGAATCGTGTATATTTTATCAATTTCACCATTGCCACTTATTATTTATAACGCATCGGCTAATCGACGTATCCGCCTGTAAAACAGGTGGTCATAGTGCCTGGTATTTCTAATTTTATAAATCTTTCCAAAAGCAACAATCTGCCTTTTGGACAGGATAAATAATCGTTTTCCTAACCGTTAGTATAAAATGACGTGTAGGACGTATCCTCATTATACAGTCTATCTTTTCCTATCCTCCCTTGCAGAGGACTGTACAGCCGCTACACTATAAATTATAATAAGTAACATAACCTCGCTATCAGTTATTTAAAGAATTTTGAATATAGAAAAATGTATAAACGACGAAACGTTAAAATATCTTTGAAGTGTACCAAAGTTAATCATATGGTTGTTAGAAGTACCGCAAGTCAAATAAATATTTCGTGAGTAAGAGTAATATTGATGCCAGAAATTATTCTTCCGTCCTTAACAGAATCAAGCTATGAATAACGTATGTCTAAATAGATATCAACGGACTCACCCGATGACGCAGATTGTATGTAAGAACGAGGTTCCTGGCGAACGAGTTCGCGAATGCCTGATAAAAGTCCAAAACTTCCAGAAGACGATCGCGCTTGATAGTATGAAGATCGCAATAGGTGAGAGCCCTGACGTTGGCAGCACTCTGTCCAATGGCAGAATCTTTCCAGAAGCTATCCCCAAAGACGTCACCCTTTCCGAGAATCGCGACGACCTCATCATCCTGAATAACTTCCAGACTTCCAGTGACGATGAAGCAGAGCGAGTCGATAGACTCTCCCGTGTGGTAAAGCAGATCCCCAGGTGCACTGTGGGACATGGTGAAATGCATGGCTAATGCACGTAAGCAACCGTCGGAAGCTAGTCTGTAACAATACAAAATATATATATAGAGTCAAAGGTCTTAAATATACATGAGTGTCTAATCCCAGCAGTATTTGACAGCAGGTTCTCAAGGATATCATACCTAAAGGCAGGATGTTCATTGAAGACCTTGCGATTCAGATGCACACAAATGTCAGCTTTCATATCCTTGGGACAGTAATTGAGGACTTTGTCGGTATCAAGACCCTTTGTCATGGCCCACGTGCTCACTACATAGTCCATGACACGTTCGCTCAAGGCCTTTGGAACTTCGTGAAGCTTCATGAACTCTCGTACGTTATTTAGCATGTCGTGATATTTGGCCGTAGCGGATGTCATTTGTTGGATGATGGTTGTGACATGGCCAAAAATGGTTGCATAAAGTAGCGCTTACATAGAGAAAAAAAAAAAAGAGTAACGCGTTAAGTACACGAGAAAACATGGAGTAAAATGAAATGCGAAGTATGGAAGATTTCAAAAGTTTTTAAATTGTACAAAGACATTCGTTTACCAGCAATGATCATCATGCAGATTGTGAAGATTTTCTCGTTATCCGTTTCAGCGGCGACGTTACCAAAACCCACGGAAGTCATACAGGTCATCGTGAAGTAAAGGGCAGTGACGTACATAGTGCGGCGAGATGGACCAGCTACCAATTCTGGGGCTGTACTAGCATTGGTCCACAAATAGCTGTACGGTGATTGAGTAACGTTCGCCAGTTTCCACAGCCAGGAATATTGAACCCCATTGTCGGCGTCAGACCTTCCTATGGAATACCTTAAACGAGGAACAGTCGGCCACGGGTTACGGTTGTTGATCCTTATCCGTGGTTCGAGGGATCGGTATAGGATCGATATTATTGACATAATTAATTTTCAATAAATCAAATGATATCATTCATCACTAACGACACTGGCAGTCGATTCGGATCTAATATGTTTCTGTAGTGTAAGTGTAAAGCGGAAGGCAGAGCCAAAGTTCACCAAAGAAATGTCCAAAGTGTATATACAATATATATAAAATTCAATGAACGTGACTGTGACCGAGGTAAATCATTGGCGCAGCCCTCTTTATACATATGTTACCTGAAATACGTGTACGCAGGGTGAAATCACCTTAATGTGACGTACCAAATACAGGCCAGCCAATGGGCGACTAGCATGTAGAAGCAGAGCAGAAGGATCAGCATGGCAGCGCCATACTCGAGATACCGATCCAATTTTCTAACGACTCTCCCGAGTCTGAGAAGTCTGACAACCTTCAGGGCGGAGAACAAGCTACCAATGCCATCCTCGTCGTGATCAAACGCATTGAAGACATCGTAAGGTAGGCAGCTCAGAAGATCGATAATAAACCAGGACTTGAGGTAATTCATTCTGATAACCTAAAAGAAAAAACTTTTAAATCTTCTCTTGCAAACATTGACATAAGCCAAAGTACATAACCTAAAATGAATAAATAAAAATTCATAACTGAAAAAAAAAAGAATTATATTTTCTACCTTAGGATCGGACACCACCTCACCGCCGGCACCGACAAAAGTCGTATGAAAATTGAGTACGATGTCAATAAAGAAAATGACATCGACTATGCTGTCAACCACCAACAGCGAAACGTCCTCGCTAGTCTTATTCTTAAAGGCGACGTTATACGGTACCATGATGGCCGTGTAGAACGTTAGACACAATATAATCCAATCCCAGATGGCCTTGAAGGCGCAATAATGCAGAAGAATATGAGGCGGCGTCTTTGGGGCCTCTTGTCTATATTGTGGCATTACATCTCCACTGAGTGACATCATCTGAACAGAAGAATTTCATATAAGAAACAGTCATATCGTTATCGATCCGATGTTACCGGTAAGATCCCATTTGAAAATGGCGCCACTCACGTGCGCCAGATGCGACTGTTTCGCAGTGGTAGGCAATGCGGAATCCTTCAGCGCCGGCAAATGGGAACTGAATTGCGAGACCAGCACGGATCTCGATCTCGTTACGGATCGGGCGAGTTTCGCGAACTTTGATAATCCACCCTTGCTGTCGTCCGCCTCTATTGGCTGTTTCAAGGCCGTGATGTCCCGGAAGGTTAACAGGAACAGGACCACCAGATCCCGTTCGTTCTTTATCGGTGCTATCTGTAGCAGCAGCCATAGCGGTGTCTCTACGGATACCAATTGGTATGAGGGAACGATGTCAATTTAAAAAAAAAAATCAAATGATAATTAGATATCGTAGAGTCGTCGTGCGATAACTTTAAACATTCATCAAAGGCATTATGATATATATATATAAATATAGGAGTAAATTTTGCTAAATTGTACCGGAGATTTGACAGCTGTCATTGCGATATACTTTTAGCAGTTTTAAATATTTGTGTAAGCCGATTCGACGATTTCGAGCGATCTGTATATCCATCCTTGTTTTACACGTATGACCGCGCATAAGACGGTCTCTCTCGCACTCACAGAAAGTATCGAAAATTTAAAAAATCCACGGTTTCTTCCTCGTCGAATCGACGACATCGAAAACTTGTCAACGGTCACTCGAAAGACTTCGACCACTGTCGCTCTTCGAATAACATTAAATTTTCATCCGCCAAGAAAAAATCCGTGACACTTGTCAAATCCAATTAGTCTCTCTGAGTGAAATAGTCCTATATTCATATTAATATGTGTAAGGTTGATCCAAATCTTGAATATGTTAACACCGTACGAGGGCTCCATATCCCACAGCAGGAAGATCTTCCCGAATGGCATCCTCCCACTTTGGGGAATATTGATATTCCGATAAATGTATACACACTGTATAAAATAATGCTACGCAAGAGCAAAACTAATAACGAGTATCGTGAACGAGAAAAGCTGTATGCAGATTGATATCGGCGCAATGGATATCACGATAACGGCTTCGTGCACCAGTCATCGATAATACCTGTAATTTATATATACATATATATCACTCTTTAACATTGGTAAATAGTGCCACGAATCCAGAGCGCCGACTCTCTCTCCTTATAATAGGAAGCATGCGTGTGCGCTAACAAACGTAAGGATTGTGAAACACAAAGAGAACCATAGATCGATGGTATTCATGTTACGTAAAAGGTGGCACGAGAGAGATAGAGATAGAGATAGGCAGACAAATAGAAAGAGAAAGAGAGAGAGAGAGAGAGATCCGAGCTACCTCCATTCTCACATACGTATGCATAAGTAGGTAATATTTACATATATTAAGAAAATTCTAGATATAGGGATAAGCCTAGTTCTAATTCAATATAAGGACAGGGACGAGTCTTTCACGTTACGGGACATATTTACAAGGATTTTTCTTTCATTTCTTACTTCGTTATCTAATCGAGCTACGACCCTTCGCAAATTACCCGCATCATAAAAAAAGAGGTCCAAAAAAATTTGCTAGTACCAAAGTTTCTCCTGGCAGCCCCAATGCATGTGGTTACCTACGGTATGTCATAACGTATATACGTACAGGCATGTACGGTACGTGAAGTTTATCCAGCAACGTTTAAAAATGTTTGATAACATTTTTCCTTTTTTTTTGGGCTATTTTTTGTCTCCAGCTAACCAGAACACCTCTAACTTCGCTTAATTGAACAACCTTGTATACCTGAGGGGTGGTTATATTCATACGTGTATATGGGAGAACATCGAATGGATATTGTCGGCACGTGTGGACGGAAAGGGAGTAGCAGTTTCAGGTACCGGGAGAGCGATAAGAGAGGGTGCAGGGGTTGCGGGGGGGAGTGGTAGAGGGTGCGGAGGTCGGAAAACAAGGAATGTGCAAAAGTCAAAAGTGCACGAGGGTGATGACGATGCTAATGGGAAAAGGGGGTGAATAAAAAAAAGACGTGTACCAAAGTTTCTGTGCGATAGCCAATTTAACGGTTAATTAAGTTTTTTTTAATTTTTCGGAATTTCAATTTTTCTTTTTTTTTTTACCAATTTACCCAAAGCGTCGCTATCGATGGAAATTGTTCATGCGTGGTGTCTGGTCGTCATTGGGGAGCTGTAAAGGGGGCTAGAGGGTAGGGGCCTAACGTGGCATTACGGAATCGTGTTAACTTTACGTTTTGTTGATAATGTACATTGCGTTGTTCTTTAATCTCGTTGCTCGTGTATATCAGTATTATAAGTGTCTGTTTACGTAGGAGAGAAATGCGAGCGAGGTGTGTGACTTACAGGCTTTTTGCGAGTGCTCTTTTGAGAAGTGCTAGACATACCTCGTGGGGTACCTTTAAACAGAAGGACCTCCATTATTTAATTTCAGGTATGTGAGTCAAGATCGATTTTTGGGGAAGAACGAAGAAAAAAGGAGAAAAAAAAATGTAATAAGACATCGGGGCATCGTGGGACGGTAAGAGAAAAATATATTTTGTAAATAAATAACGATAAACGAAGGAAATTATTCGCGGTGGCACATAACTCGATTCTACGTTGGTACGTGATAAATTTTTTCTCTGTAAAAAAAGAAAAAAAAAATTACGATTCCTCTCTGCCTACGATTGCTGTTACCGTGAATTCGTATTTCGAAATTCTTTCCGTACTCTCTATCCCTTTTTTTTATTATCGCACCTGTGACGTGTGCGACAAGTTCGATATGATTTTTCGTCGTTATCTCGGCTGATGAATCGATTTTAAATGTCCTGATGCGAATGCGAATGAATAATGACGATAAAAGAGAAGAGAGTCAAAATCAGACTCGTATACGAGTGTATCTGTATGATTTGAGATAAAGCCGATGGCAGCGATTGATTTCGTTTTTGATATTCATTTTTTTTTTTTTTAATATACGCATGTTTACGGATACTCGTTTCCGTGAGACCACGAACGTGCGTGATGCTCACACAAAATAACTTCTTTTCATGCATACGTAACGAAAATAATAAACAGATCAAGTACCCCGGTCAGCTGGGTATTTCGTGAAATTAGCGATCATTCCTCACTTTCGATTTAATATGAGAAAAGACAATATACTCAGTGTCGTATAAGTGAGCACACGTGAAATATGATCGCCTGACACGTCAACGAGAAACCGTAACGATAACACTTGAAAACTTTTCGCTTATTGGAAACTTACTGTTCTTCTTGTAGAGGAGGATCTCAAATTGATCGTGGATATGACCCTCGAGACATTCCTCGATCCTAGATATCGTCTCCTTGTCGGTCAGTTCACCGTACATGAATCCGCAGCGACATGACTTCTGCATCACCTGAGTGAAGCAGACGACGGAACGGAATGACAACTCGAACGAATCGATTATCGTCACTTTCGATATTCGACTTTAATCTCGAAAGTGTAAGAGGCTATCGCATATCGTAGATAAAATTAGAATTTTCATACTTGTGAACACTCCTTGTTAAATATGTCAACAATAAATCTATCTGCCAATAGGAAATCTCGTTAGCCGTTATAGCGCGACCTGTGAACTGAGCTTAACGCCATATACAATTCTCGACATACTTTTTCCTTCTGTTTCTCGCCGCTGTGTGCGCGCCAATACGTCACGATTTAACATTTCAGGATATCTACGTACATTCATATATACCATATACACATGTATATATACAACGTACCTCGGCCCGATTGTAGCCGGAAATCTTGCAGAAGCTCTCGTTGCAGTAGACAATGGGATAGTCGACGATTTGCGCGTTGGCCAGCAGGAAACTGCTGTCGGCTGCAAGGAAAGAAGAAACGTATGAGAGACAAAGATAAAGAGTAAGTACAATAAATAAGAGATACCGAAACCGGGAGAAAGATCGATCGAAGAAATTCTTTTTTTATAACCTTCGAGAATAACCAAGAGAAAATGCAAGACACGAGCAGCCGCCATTGATTTAATTGCATAATATATATATATATATATATATATATATATATACAGACACACCGAACCTACTTGCCAAGCAACACCAGTCGAAATTTAATTCCCTAGTGAAATTCGCGACTCGGTCATGAACAGTAAAGAGTGAGTGAATGAGAAAAGAGAAAAAAATGTAATGAGAATAGAAGAAAACGCAAAAGCTATATACATATATACGTATAAAATCGTATGGAGTATTTTCAAGGAGCGATCTTCCCGCGCAATTTGGCAGCTTCATAAAAGTCCAAGTACTTCGGCAGGGTTACCGCAGAACTTGTCGGCCATTGTGGTACGGCAAAACACAGCCTCGCGAACCTACAAACTGCACGAACTCATTTCAAGGGACAAGGGTAATCAGAGTTTCTAGGTAAAAGCGCCACGGTACGCGGAACCGAAGCTCGAGGAAGTAAATATCTAGGAAAGAAAAAGCAAGATGGCGTCGCTCGCTCTGTTATGCCAATGAATACCCAAAGGGGTTCTGGTACCCCGTTAAAACTGGACACAATGAAGTCTTTGGTGATCGGATGTCCTTTCAACGGGACGAGCGTTACTGCATTCATCGCCTAGAGTACTAGGTAACGTATATAAACATATGTATATTGTTTAAGGTATACCGTATATACAAAATACTGCATAGTTAAGGCCTGTTGTAACAAGGAGGTACTTTTGATCGAGTATCCACTCAAAACCTCTCTACTTGTTGAACGCCATTGAACGGCTGCCGTGGTTCGGAGTCTCGAACATTACATGCATAGATATGTACAGTGGGATCAATGGAGCCGCAATAAGTTAAGGTGGCCCTTGCGTCGTTATACACGCAGTGTACACGAATGCCAAATGTGTAAACAATGTCCAGATGCAGATTCTTGGGAGTGTAGATATAGATAGATATAGAGCAGGGCCACAGGCTGAAGATGTGTGCCAGCGCATACGTGAACGTGCGTATATACCTATAGGTAAGTCCACGCGTACAGAAGACGGGAGGTTTTAATGGACTTTTCTACTTAGAGGCCAATAAAGTGCCACGAACCTCCAGAACATCTTTCCCCTTTCAAGTGAAAGCCTTAACCCTCCTTTCACTAGTAAGTAAAGGGTACTTACGAATAACTGAACTGCCTATATGTAGGTGTATATATATATATAGAGAGAGAAATTTCTTTATAATGATTCATTAGGTAACACTTCCTGGACACGTAAGGACGCTAATTTATTGTGTCAGTTTGCGAGTAAAGGAGGTTAGGATTTTTAGGGACCGTCGGGTATGGGATAAGCTAGTGATTTTTGAGGTGAATTATTTAGGTGATTGTTCCTCGATGATTTGGAGCTAGGTTGTAAGTCGTAAGAAAAAAATTCCTAAAGGTAGCGATAAGTACGGGAAGACCTTTTTCAAAGGCTCGTAACGAGAACTCAGAGCGAAGTCCCTGAGTCGATCAGATCAAAGATCACTCAAGTGAGTTAGAACTTGCACACCTCCGAGGTCTCGGCGTAGGTGGTTTAGGGTCAGACCCGATATGCGCTCTCGGTAAGTAAGGTCAGGCTACCCGGCTTTAGCTTAATCTTGATTCACACGCGAGAAACTTGCTAGTCGTGTTGGATCGCGAGCGACGGGTCAAGGTGCACCAGCCAGTAGTTACACGCACCCTACGCCAAGGAATATAGCCGGACCGTGAAACTCTGCGGTTTTAGGTTATACCTCCACGCGACTTGGAAACAACTTTCGATGTGATTATCCACTGAGAAACTTGACTAGAATGTCCCTGGACGTAAAAGAAGGTCCGCTTGGGGATGTATTTGAAAAATGTTAAAAAAATTCTTTAAAACTGTCTCGACCTTATTTGCGATTCTTGTACGAGCTGCGAATAAAATGAGGAAGTTTCTTCGAGAAATTTCAAGTGGATATCTTGTTATTGGCGAAGAAATAGAAAAGAAGAACAGCCATACGTTTTAGTCCGGTGTCAAAGGACGGAGAGAAAGTATCAAGCTGGGCGACGCTGATGAAGGCAATGTAGTTGGGAATCGCGAGGAAGAGGGTAAAGGCAAGGGGCAGGGGTACCTAACTCGAAAAACTTTGACACGCGAACTTTAAAGATTTTTTCTCGAAGGTTTCTGGATTTTATCTCGCTCGACACGCACCGTTTGCTGTGTCCCCTCGGGAAAATCTTTTCTTATATCATAAATACATGTTTCGGGTATAAAGCTGCTTATTAAGTTCGGCGTGGCTGAGCCGAACTCGAAATCACCAAGTCATTCCTTGCGCACGACCGTACAGTCGTACGTATACTACATCTCCTTATGTCAAACCTTCGGGAAATTATTATAATGCTAATTTATCGCTAAAACGTAGATTGCGTGCCGGTTTTCTCTCGTGTAACGTGCGCCCGATTTACGAGGGCACCTTCCTTCTCTTCGACCCGGGGCAAAAGGTTCCAGTCGGGTTCGAGGCCATGTCGACGTTGATCGTTTGACTCGCGCCCGTCGGGCTTTCCTACTCGCGGAAAATAAAATCATCGATCGCAAACCTAGTAGAGTAGCGAACCCTCCGCTCGCCCCTTCTTTCTCCGCCCCTGAGCCGCAAATGGGAACAGCGACTTGGCGAGTAGGAATCGATGCCAATCGGACGCTTCACATTTGCCATTGCCGAGCGGAATGCCGTTTTGAAGAAAAAGATACTTTCTTAGTAGCGACTCTAATTGCTAACGAAAATGTTGATCGGCATTGATAAAAAAAAAATTTCTAAATACCCATATCGAATTTGAGCGTTCGGTATATCGTCCGTGAAACGCATGGAAGATGCGTCACCAGATCGCGTTTCCAGAATGGGAGTGATATACGGATTAATAGTAGATGAAAGTTCGACAGGTTGGTCAGCCTGGCCTTTAAGGAAATATATGTCAAGCTTGTATGCGATTAAACGTCAGTGCAAAAGTAGAAATCGATTGGTCGTTGTCTGAGACATTGGGGACGTAGAAATGAAAAATAGGACGCGTGCATTTTTTTTTATTTCAAAAATGATACGGAGGGATGCTGCATGGCTATTGCATATACATAAGGGATGATACTTCCATATTTGACAGGTGATTGATCGATTGATGAAAATTGATAATGATCATTTTCGCAGTCGGTTCATAATATTCGACTCCATTACAGACGCGTTTTGATCCCTTGTCAAACAGGGTGTGGGTAATGAATTTGCTCGAAGTAAAATCTAAATTAACGATAAAAGCGCGACTCTTGGCGGGTTCTAAAAATAGTCCAGGCAGTGGAAAGAAAGAGGTGAGGAGTAAAACGAAGTGGATGAAAGAGGGCAGGGGGGGAGGTAGTCGATGACGTTGCGATGCCGGTGCCGACGCCAGGCGGTTGCTGCTGGGTGAAGTTGCTTCTAGAGATGGAAGTGATGGTGGGAAGCACGTGAATAAGAGACGAGAGGTATGAAAATAACGGGAGTAGGGTCGGTTAAAAAAATGAGAGGTTAAACAAATTTTTGAGGATTTGAGTAAAGTTTGCATTATAGAACGTACAACGTTCACCCCCATATAACACGAGGTTGACCCCCATGCTCCGTAGATTTGACCCAATGACCCAACGGACACGCCCGAATCATCACGGAAACAGCCGACCGAGAGTACCCCTACGCTATCTCGCTCCGGTCTCAGCCAGACTCGAGTCTGATCGAAAATACAACCCCCTGCTACTAACCCTTCCTACAAGCGAACCTAACCTCACAGCCTTGCAACCCTTTCGATATGTTATAACCTCTCTTCGCTATGCAAAGGGTTCGGAAATTCCTTACTCCCATAGTCGTGACCCACCTTCTCCTTTATCTTACGCGGAAACCCACCCCTCAACTGTGCTTATACCTTTTTCAAGGCTAACTACCCTATCCGAGCGAAGATAAGGCGTATTCTCGTTAGAATTCATTTTGGATGCAACCAAGAGCCCAAGGTACGCACTATAGTAAGGATGTTTTATAAAGTTCCGATTTGGGTAACAATTCATCTCCTATAGGCAAAAGCTGCAACCTCAGAGACTGTACAGAGGTAATAGTTGTGACACTTTTTTTTTCTTATCATTATCCTACACTGTATGCAGAATAGGAAGAATTGCTGATTGTACCGGTGAGAGAGTAAGTGGTGGTGAAATCGTGGTGGTGATCTCAAAAAAAAAGAAGGGTGGAACAATGCAGGGGTAACAAGCGTCGCGTGGCGTCGTGTTCCAAACTTCTTCGTGCTAGTTACGAAAGGCACTGAAATATTTCTAAGGCATCAATAATACCCAGACTGTGCGATTCCACGTAATATATATATATATATATATTCTTTCTTTTTCATGTTGCAGTCAAGGGTGCCAACCACTGAGGTATAAAACAAAAATCGGGAACGATCGTATAGAGGTGGTAGCGACCCCCGACGAGATAACGTTTCCTAGTAGGTCATAATTCTGGACTATCACAGCTTTTCTTTTTCTCCTGGTACCCTGAACGAGAGAGGCACTTTCTCGCTTGACACAAAATTCCCATTCTCTCCTTCTGTCTCTGGCTTTTCTCTCTCTCTCTCTCTCTCTCTCTCTCTCTCTCTCTCTCGCTCTCCCTGTTAATTTTTTTTCCACTCTCTCTCCCTCCTTACTCTACACAGCGTTGGCCGACTCATTTGTGCCATATGAGATATAGATATAGTGTCATCGTAAAAAAAAAATCCTTCCAGATATAGCTGGCCTGGCCACTCCACTGATAAGAGCGCAAGACGCAATGTCCGAATCTTGTAGAATTTTTTGTATAGGGTAAATCTGGCTTTTCACATTTTAAGGATCGATCCCAAAATATTTCACGCCGCCGTCGTTGGACGCAGGATTTAACGCGGAATTCAAGTATCCTTGAGATCAGAGACAATAAAGTGCAGCTTTATACTCATCCTAGGATGAAAGAACCAGAGGTGTCCTCGAGGAAGCTTATATAGAGGCATTTGGCTACGGACATGGTCCAACGTGTTCATCTAGGGTATATCTACGAGTCCTTGAGTGACAAAGACATTTTCGTATCTCCGAGTCCAAGTCCGAGTCAAGTTGGACGAGCGAAGTGGTACATAAAAAAAAAATTTTTTTTAAGGGTTAATGAGTAAACGAAAAATTGGTTGTTTCCGGTAAAGCAAGGTTTACTGGTTGACAATGGTAGGTTCTAATTTCTAGCCTGATTAGACGCCACACCGCCGCTGGCCTTCTTACCAGTAATATTAGATAGAACGTATTTCTAAGGGTTCTACTCACGTTGGCTACTGCTTCTGCGGATGATGTTCTCCAGGAACGTATTTTGAGGGGCTACTAGGCCCCTACGACCCCCTGGCATCCTTTCTCCGTTAAATCAGCGTCCTTGCTCGCTGCGGCTCAGGGCCTTTGCAAGCCAGAGGCGCGACTCTCATGATCATCAGTAAAATCGCGTCTCATGTCCAGTAGGGGTAAAATTTAAAAAAAAATTATTTTTCAATCCACCCCTAACCACAGTGCACTCGGTATACTAATTTACAATCTCAAGCAGGCCACGCACTTGTTAAACACAGCATCCAAGGATCTCGAGGAGTCCCCTCGTAGTCGTCAAGATCACCCAGTACCTTTGTCACCCCAGACGAAAGGTCCTGGACCAAGATTTTCTTGGGGATCAATGAAAAAAAAAATATTTTTCTCAGCGTCCCGACACCAAGCAGACCTGATCCAGGATCAGGTAGAAATTCATAAAAGGGTCCATGAGAAACAGACTCGTCCCAGGAAATCACGCAGAGACCTTGCTACTTGTATATTCGGTCTCTCCTAAGGTCTCATCTCCATTTTCAATTTGATCTCGTCTCTTCTCTCGGTCCAGGATTCTGGTTCCCTTCGAAATTGTATTACCGACCTTGACCTTTGACCTTCCGGCCCTTAGTATCGCTTTCTCCTCGGCACTAAACACAGGTACACATACGCACTAAACACTTGCCCTCAGCAACACGGTGTTTCGTCACCTGAACGTTTTCCTTATGTGGATCATCATAAGATCGTTCATCGGCAAGTTCTCCGGCAACGAGTATCCGGTCACTACTCGTCTGCCAGTTGTATACGGAAGGATCAGCCTCGCGTGGACGCCGTCTATGATGACGAGGACGACGATGACGACGTCGAAAACGACGAGGAGGACGATCACTCCCTTTTTATGACGATCTTGGATTTCTTCCCTATGTACAACATCGCTGGTACCTGGTCCACGAAATCGGCATGTCCTTAGGGCCATCTGTCGATGGTATCTACCCGCAGTCCTTCCACGAGGTCGCGATTTCTTGACGATGTGCTCCTCTCCTCGCTGTTCTTCTCCACATCCTCGGCGTCCTCCTCCTCTGTACCGGTACCCAACATAGCTCAAGATCAGGCTCCAATTTCACATCTTATTATCACTTCAAGAAGTTCCTTCCGCTTCCGGACTGTCGTCCGTTTCAATTGATTGGGATGATTTGAGTTTTTTTATTTCCAAGCCCAACCTTGTATATCCTGGTCGAGGATACTGCTTACCTGTGAATGAAATTAATTGTCAGAGACTACTTGGATATGCTTATAAATATTTCACAGCCATTATGATCAGGTCAAAGAGCTTTTTTAATTATGAACAGGGGGTTTGAGTCTGAACTTATAAACGTGTGAGATTCAATATTATTTTTATACTAAAAGGTCACTTGGTCCGATGAAGTCTTTTATCATTATTAATCCAGTGTTTTCTAGGGATACGAAGTGCCAGGTAAAAATACACCATAGAAACAACCATCCTGGATCCCAGTTGTTGATTGACATTCTCACTACAGTGGCCCGACTCGACGGTCTTATGGACAGCAACAAAAGGATGAACTGAAACAAAGCCGCAGTTTTGATTGTTTCCAAACTCCTGGAAGAATTACAACTTGGGTAGGTACACAAGCCGCGAAACTGCAGAATCAGTGAGTCGAACTCGAAACCTATCTGAACCTCTGACCTGTACGTGTTTGGATGTAGCGACCATCGATATTTTTTCCCATACACTAGAGTACAATATTAATTCCACCCCACAATGTAGATAGGATAAACGGATGACGTTGTAAAAGGACACTTGGGATCCAGCTTAAAAAAAAACTGATCTCACATCATGTCTTCTTTCTTGCCGCTTATACAGGAGTGGACGCTTTCAGTGGGTTGGATCTTAGGGATATCGGACTTAATCGAAGGCAATTCGAGGGAGGACGTCAAACGTTAAATGATGAACGTGAAAGAAATAACCTGGCAGCCTGTTGCGGGGGTTCAGTCATTTCAAAAGACAGCCTCAAGTCGATGAGAAAGAAGCTACTTCGTATAAAGGTGGGTCAAATCGTCTATTTCACCTTGACTGATCGAGAATGTAGACCGACGTGTGGATGATGTCGCCTGTTAAGAAATATCAAACCTTTTCATCCCCTTAGCGCTATTTGAGGATCGTGATACCTTGGAGATGAGATAACGACCGACTACCGGTGATAAGAGACCAGAAAAGGAACCCGAAGATAGGTACCTGCACAAGGTTGCTAATCACGAAGTGGAAGTTGGATGACGTCGAGGAAGGGCAAAGTCCCCGGAAAGAGGTTACCCCGTTTCCTGGCTGGTGTCACGCCCTGGCCTTAACGACACTTCACTACGTAGAGACCCGTTTGCTTTTACCAGGGTGGGGTTTTTGGCACGCTACTTCACTTCTGACAGTTTCTTTATTTTTTATTTATCTTTTTCTTTTCGTTCTCTCTATTCTCTTCCTCTAATCGATCCTCCACGGCTCGCACTGGTTGACACCTTCTACGAGAGCAACGTGATCGTTTACGTATTTCAGTATATATTTTGTGTACACGTATGTATATATCACTCACGCACTTTTTACTTCACTGGAAAATACTTAATATATAATGAAAATTCCAGGTTACTCGAGAACACCAGTCTCATCCCGAGTCCCCTAGGACACATTTCCTGGTGCGCGACGAAGACGTCCTTCGCGTCGAGGGTATTCCAGCGTTCCTGACAATTTCATAGTATTCGTGAATACGACGTGGCCTGATACGAAGAGTCTGATAACACCGCCGAAGGACTCATAAATAAGAATTTGATACCAGACTGTACTACTGATTACGTAGAAGAACAGGGGTAAACTTGGAGTACAGGAATTCCCAGAGGGTGGCACGTGCTATAAAAAAAAGGCAACCATGTACATCCATACATTATACGTCCAAGCACACCGTGACCCCTTCTATAATTTATTCATAGACAGTCTGATTGAACTCTTTCATCTCAGGTGAAATGGCCATCCCTTTGATAACACCAAAATCATTCCAGCCACCCACCCTTCCCTAGTATCCCTCAAGTATTCCAGTATCCTTCAAGACTCCCATACGCAGAGGGTATCGCGCAGCAGCGATAAACTGTACGATTTCACGAAATTCTTGACGCATCCTCAAATTATACCTGGTGTCAAATAAATAAAATATATAAATCCCCATCGTACCGGAGACAATTCCAAACGAGTGTATCCTATCCAAGGAAAGTTCGCGTAGCAGCAGCAGCAGACGAATTAAAGTAACTCCAGCACCGTGGGTTGTGCGGCATGGTAGCGCCTTGATGAATATGAAAACTCGTGCTCCGCCAAGGACGATACCCGTGAATATGCAGTTGGATTATTATCGATGAATAGCAATCGAATATAAATCCAGTTGCAGCCGTTTTGTATCGAGCGTACGGGTACCACGTTAACAACTGTTCAAAGGCTTGTTCGTGGTAACGAGAGAGAGAGAGAGAGCAGCAGCCCCTACTTGGAGGGTGACCGAGTAGCGACTGGCTCAGTGGCGCTGAATACAACCCTTACGGGATGACGTAGAGACGGACGGACAAGCAGAAAGGAAGGTAGCAGGGTCGATCGAAGACATGAGGGAGGGCGCCACCTCTCCGGCAACCCCGTTTTACAAATACCCCAAAAGCTCTGGAGTTGCTTTGCTCTGTGTTCCTCTCTCTCTCTCTTTCTCTCTTTAACCGTCTCGGATATATCCTACTCTCTCGTATTCAGGCAGTCTGCGTATAGGGCGCTGCGTACTATATAGAAAACAAAACCTCTGTACTCTCTTGACGAGTGGCCGATATTACTTTATGCCTCTATAGTTTGGCTCCTACCGATATGTCCTCCAACTGTATTCTCTGTATGCCAAGAGAGTTTACTGCGATACACGTAACTGTGTGACTAAGGCTGGTTCTGTGATTGATCAAACAGTCGGTAAATATGTGTGTCGACAGGCATTTTTACCAGCTCGTATCATTGAGATCCTGGACCGATATCTAGTGCCAGCTGATTACTGGAGTACCTATGTATGTCACTATACTTTCGTACTCGAAGCATATGTGGACGTATACGTGTATAGATGAAGAAAAATAGAGGGAACGTATGTTGCGTAACGTTACTTATCTTAATTATGGGATGGATTTTACATACGTGCTTCTTTAGGAGGATACATCCTTTTATCGGGTACTCTGTGCACTTATTGCTGTGGTTAATGCCGCTACGGTACTGTGCACCAGTTTATTGATACAAGTGATGGTATGTATATTTACATATATATAAGTAATTATACCTATATAACGTATAGTTTACGCTAGTGCATTTCGAAGAATTAGACTTGGGATAAGTCACTTTCATTAAGTTTATCGATATGGAATTCGGAGGACTTTTAAAAGTTTGCTACGTTGCATTTTTGGGAGCACGACAAAGTCCTGTTTCTTCTGGCGAACTGAAAGCTGAATGTAATTTTAGGTTGCGCATTGCGTTAAAAATAATTTAAAATATTTATTACGGTTACTAGCGGCAAGTAATTAGCTCTTATATACGTACACAGGGCAATCCAGCTGGAAGGCATTTCATTCGATATTGTGGAAGAATCAAGCCTTTTAATGTTCATTGGTCAATTTGAAGGTACAGTACAAATATATGATTTCAAAGTTGAGCGTCTGATTTGTATATGGAATGATAACCACTGTGGCATTCATCAGTGGTTATCCGTGGTAAGTTGGAAAGGTGGGTTGATTTGATGTGACTGTCGTCGAATGTTAGTGCGTAGTGGTGATTGAGAACAAGCGCCTGAAAGACGGTTATGCGTAGTCAAAACAATGGCACAGACGGCTGTCAAATCCTAGCCCAGTAGATACCTTCTAGCTGGATAGAACTGTATACGAACGGAGAAGTATAGTTTCGTACGTCGTATAATATATAATTCTCAACACGGTCTCTGCTTCTGGAAACGGTGTAAGTCGCAGTCTCGCGTGTTGCTTCCAAACTCTCTAATGTACTGGCGACCTTCTACGACGAATTTTAAGGAATTTTGGCAAACTCCTCGGTCCAGCCATACGACGATATACAGGTGAGCCACGAGGGAAAACCTACATAACATATGTGTAAGTAGAACAATACGTGTAGAGAGAACAAAGGAATTTGAATTAGACACAACGACTACTCGTGCGCTAATGAACTACGAAAAATCAAGTTTATGTAAAAATACTGTTTTAACCTTGGCTTCAAACTGCAATGGAATACATGCCATATCCAATTGTAAGTAAATCATGATAATTATCACTTAAAGTTGTATACTATGAAATCATTTAAAATGATTGCTGCCATCCACTCCTTAAAAATGACCCAGTGATTTAAATAATAACAGGATAACTCGTTAGAAAATAATAATTCTCTTAGTTGGGTAATACTTATTCGATTCAAGGATGTTTCGTTAAATAATATAGCAATATTCACTATAGGTCATTAATATTATATTTTATAGATAAATTGTACAAATAAATATTATTTGATTGTCATATCTATGTATATAAGTGACGTGCTGATATATTTGTGCACATATAATATATCTATTACTGCCAACAGTCTGATATCCCTAATTTATACCGCCATTACCTTGCATACTTGCAAAAAATAAATTACATACGTAACAATTATATCTGAAATAATGTTATTGATATATAAATGGTGCTCTACATTTATTTACTCGTTATAAGGTTTAAGCAGCTGATAATGGTACATACAGGGTGTATCTTAAGCCCCGGACAAGAGACATACCGTTAGATCCTGCGTGAAAAAATAAAAATATTGGCGTTAACAAAAATCAAAAATTTTAATTAGTTTATTAATAATTAAAGGTTAAGGTAAACCAATAATAAGCGCGTGAATACTGGTAACTCCCCCTCAATCTCCGCCCATTGGGGACAGCCAATCATTTATTTCCCCACAAAAACAGTGACCGGTGGATACGTAAACGAATATAGTAACGTCAATAAACAAAAGAGTAACGCAAATAAACAAAAGAATAGTGTAAAATGTTTTTTCGTGGGGAAATAAATGATTGGCTGTCCCCAATGGGCGGAGACTGGCGGAGGAGTTACCAGTTTTCACGCGCTTATTATTGGCTTACTTTAATCTTTAATAATTAATAAACTAATTAAATTTTTTGATTTTTGTTAACGCCAATATTATTATTTTTTTCACGCCGGATCTAACGGTATGTCTCTTGTCCGGGGCTTAAGATACACCCTGTATATGAAATTCTCACTTAGCTGTCGGCAAGGAGGGGAAATAAATACCAGATAAGCTGGGCAAACGTGGTCGAGGGCCCTCCGCTAAGGTGGCGCGCCGAAACCAGAGAAAAATTGCCTTCACCAAAAACAGGCTCATTGGCAATCTCCCTACTCATCTCTGTGGTCAGTAGTAGGCGCAGCATGAGTGGACACGATCCTTAGAACAGCAAACTGATTTTTTGTTAATTAAATACGTAATAAGTCTGAAGAATTATGATTTTCGTTATGAAAATTTTACCAAACGTTCATCGTCGGTGGTTGAGTTTGAGTTCTCAAGTGACTAGGAACTTATGCTACGTGACAGGTGAAAAATTCATTGGAGTAAATAATTTTCGTGTTCTACCTTACCAACGGAGGCAAATTTCTAATATCAATTATGAAGCTAAACTCAGTTCTGATAACATAATAAGCAGTCCGTTCGAGGATATACATGTTACTAAGGAATTGGTTCATGAAAGAATCTGGAGGAATTTTCATAAATGGGCTAATAAAACAGCCTTGGTAAGTAAGCAAACGAATACTTAATTATATTTATATGATCCGATTGTAAATGAATTTGGATCGTTGGAAGTTTTTTTTTTTATAAACTTTACATAACATTGAACGATTTTTAGATATGTGCAGAAACCGGTCGAAGCTACACTTACGAGCAGTTAAGAAAATTAAGTGGAAGATTTGCGAAGTCTTTGAGAAAGAAATTTTTACCAGGCGACACGATAGCCATTGCGGCAACAAACGTTCCCGAATATGCTATTATTACACTAGGTGCGAGTGAGGCTGGTCTCAAAGTGAGTGAAGGGCAAATTATAGGTGCAATTAAAGGTGGATGAACGAATGAATAGAGATACGGAAATAAGGGTAGAAATCGAACAATGTGACGTCACTGCATCCTTTGATAAATTAAACGTCTGATTTCCTCCGGACAGGTCTCCTTAATCAACGTGAACTATACGCCCTATGAAATAAACAACCAGCTTTTAAATTCCGAAGCTCTTGCGGTTTTCACGGTCCCATCCAAATACGCAGATGTCAAGGCAGCCCTGGAAAATAATTCCAATATCAAAATGCCACCTATTGTTATCAGTGATGGCGACGACTTACCTAGCGGATGCTTGAAATTCGATGATATGATAGCAGACGGTATTGATGATTTTGAGAAAATTGAGAAAACTGGTGTAGGTTATCAGGACACCATTTTTCTACCATACTCAAGCGGTACCACGGGCTTACCAAAGGGCGTCGAAATATCGCACAAGTAATTAAATATATTCTAAGACAAAGCATATTATAGGTTTTGGCTAATTCTTTTTTTTTTCTTTTTACAGAAATATTGTTTCCTGTATAGGACAAATGAGTCACGAGGCAATAAATCCTACGATAGAAGCGACGAAATCATATCAGGATATCATTCCTGTAATTCTACCAATGTTTCATATTTTTGCACTGACACTTTGCGTGTGCAAAGGCTTATGGTAATGTTAGAATTTGTAGAATTATACAATTTTCGCATTTTAACTGACAGTGTGATTCTTGTCCGAAAAAGTTATGGCGCCAAGCTGGTATGCGTACCACGATTTTCCACGGAGCGTTTCCTTCAGGTGTTACACAAATCACGTCCCACCTTGATCTACGTGGCTCCGCCGATTATGCAGTTCTTGGCCTATAATGATAAAGTAACTAGAAGTCATTTGGAGTCTCTCAGGGTAATAATATCCGGCGCCGCATCCCTCAGCAACGAGTGTATCAAAAGGTTTCAGAATCGCGCGCCATCAGACCTGGCAATAGCCCAAGGGTAATTGATACAATCAGTCTTGTAGCTGCTTGACGAAATTGTTTATTCTGATTTCTGGATATTCCTTAAGGTACGGCCTCACCGAGACCTCGCCAACACTCACCCTGAGGAAAGATTCGTATCAGGATATAAATTCAACGGGTTTTATTATACCGAACACACAATTCAGAATTGTTGAATATCAGAAAAAGAAACTTGGTTGTAATTTGGGCTTTGATGAGGTAGGAGAAATATATGTGAGGGGACCTCAGATTATGAAAGGTTATTACAAGAACCCTAAGGCTACTGCTGAAAGCATGGATGGTGACTGGTTCAAAACTGGCGATCTCGGATTCGTGAAGAATGACGGTAGAAATTTAATTATCGTAAAAAAAATTATGTATTATATAATCAATATCAGATTCTGCACCTATATTTGACAGGCGCTGTGTTTATAACTGGTCGGCTAAAGGAATTAATCAAGGTCAAAGGGTTACAAGTCTCACCATTGGAACTTGAGGAAGTTCTACAAACTCATGAAAATATCACTGACGTTGCCGTGATCGGTGTGGAGAACGATCGCTTTGGCGAGATTCCTATGGCATTTGTGGTATCCAAACCAGGGAGTAAAATTAGCGAAGATGATATCAAGGATTTTGTAGCTCAGCGACTTACTAAGCATAAACATCTGGGACATGTAAAATTTGTACAGCAAATACCAAAAAGTAGTGCTGGCAAAATCCTCAGAAAAGAACTAAGACGCATAGCAACATGAATACTGTACCAAATAAAAAATGCGTACGTATGACATTGAATCTACATAACTAATACAAATTTGGTAAAAATCCAATATTTAATTTATATTTGAAACTTTTATTGTAACAAAAAGTCGACTATAACGAGGTTATATGTTAATAAAAATGTTATTATTTTATCTATTTACAGCATGAATTGATGATCTACTTCTTCGATTCCTCAGAAGCTGCAGTGGAAGACACTTTCTCCTTTTCCAAAAGAGAACTAACTATTCCAACTTTCTTAAGCTCTTTGATTAACTCGCCATTTTGATGCATTTGGAGCATTATGTCGCAGCCCCCTACAAATTCACCATTTATGAATACTTGTGGTATCGTTGGCCAATTCGTAAAGTCCTTTATACCTTAAAATATAATAGAAATGGTTGTTGACATTTTGAAACAGCTCTTAAATATATTTTTTTATTACTCACTATATATTCAATATTTTTTTATTATAAATAAATCTTTCATCAAGAAAACAGTGATATTTACAATAAATAAAACAATAATTTTACCTTGCCGAAGATCATCATCCTGAAGTACATCATGAGCATCATACTCTACTCCATGCATTCGCATTATTTGTACAACAGCATTACTAAAACCACACTTAGGGGCTTCTGGCACTCCCTTCATAAACACGACGACCTTGTTTTGCTATAACATTCAATCAGAATACAACGCAATGAAAAAGATAGACTTTAGAAATATGATGCAACAAGAGCAGAATCTCTGTTGCAAACTCCAATACACAATAAAGTACATAGCCCCATGAAGTATACAAAATATATATAAGCAGAACCACTATCAAAATTTCTATAACCCGATGAAACATTAAATGAGAAAAATATTAAATCAACAAAAACCAAAGTATACTCGAAATTAAAACCGGCATATAAATAACCTTACAAAAAGCTATACCTTTACGAGATTCCCAATTTTGTCAGCCTTCGAGGCAAACGTTCTTATAGTGAGAGCAAATCGAGCCGCTGTCATTCCAAACATTGTTAAGGTCTACAGAAATGTGTAGCACCCGAAAATAGTAATTTACAGCAGTTGTCTAGACGATACAGGTTATGCGACAATTAAAGCTTATACAACGTTGCCGTCAGCTGTTGAACCAACTACAGCCATGTTCAGGAACATCAGTTCACAGCTGTTTACGCTTGAAACGCTTCAGGTGGCGACATCTGCAGAAAATTTTTGAGCAACTCAAAACGACCGTGTGATATTGTAACCGCCCGAGAAACTTTCTCCAGAAAATGTCACAATATGAAATAGAGAGCGACCACCACAGTCCCGATAGACGTGCAATACTTTAATACATATGTCCTACAATATACTGTAAAATAGATAATTTGATACATTCTCTAATAGCATTGTCACCTAGTATCTAGCGGAAGCGACTAAAAATATGCTTTAAAACGAAATGAAATTACCAATTAGTTACATTTTGTTTTAACGAGATTACCTTAAAAGCTTCATCATTTCCATATACAAGAATGCATTTCGAACATTTTTCAGTGCACCCAAGCGCCTGCCGATAGGCAATTCGACAAGCTTGTGTATCACGTTGCCCTGAGATAGGCGCCTGAAAAAATTATTACGCATTATCGTAATATATAATTTTTTAATAACCAAGTTCAAATATCAACAGATACGCTCATTCTATCCACTAATCTTTAGTACATTTGTGTTAACAATAGATGGCAGTAGTATTTAAGAAGCTCGCAAAAGACGTATTCACATCACACCTAAAATCCATACACTGTCTGATACACCTATACATAATACACAAGCCAGACTTACTATTCAAATAGATTTAAAATGCTTAGTGGCTACACAGTCCCGAACTATTCAACAGACAGGGAGACCGTATTTATTTCCATTTTCACCACATGACAAACCCACTGTAACATACAACACAACTACGATAAACCTAGATTTATCATAAAGCGAAAAAAAAACGTCGCTGTTTATCTAATCTGCATCATGTTGATCAGCTGCTAAATTTCCGCAGTAAAATTTTGCGTGAAGAAACGCAAGACAAACGCAGCAAAGTGGCTTAATAAATAAAATAGCCTACAATTATCGCAGGATAAAACAGCAAGTTCTCTTACAATTATCCGAAACAGTTATAATCAGTGAATAAAAACAAAGGAGGGGAAAAAGTAAAAAAAAATGCTGGTTCCTTGATACGTGACGTTATTAACGTAACGGTGAAAGCAAGTCAGTATAGTATACCGAAATCAAAAGGCACTTTACCATCAGTCTGATTAAAGCGACAGAATTCGAAAGGTGCAATCAGCAGGGGACATAAATAGAGAGAGAGAGAGAGAGAGAGAGAGAGAGAGAGAGTGCGAGAGAGAAAAAAAAGACGGCCAAAGAATGAGCAAGAGAAAATACAATCCTTTCAAGCCGCTCAAATACGCCGATGTAAGAACGTCGTTACGCGGCTGGCATAGTTACAAAATTGTCCGACGGCCTAATTTGTTGACCTACCGGAAGAAACTGCGAGATCCGTCCCACTACTGTACCATCACCTTGCTCAATTCAATGCCACAACGTAGGACTCGTGTCGGTATACACCCAAAAGCCATTACTATTTCTAGCAACTTCTACCAATCCCGTGCTAGTATATATAATTATTCCTGAAGGCGGAAAGGTGACGCTGGCAAACCTAACCTAACAAGCTCCAAAGTCTATTACAACAGGCTGGTATTAACGTAATATTATTGGCTCGTACGACAACTGGAGAAGTGCATAGGAGGTGGACGGCGCGTGGGTGAACTTTTCAAACTCTAAGGTATTATATTAACGATTTTACTAGGGAAACATAGAAATTGAGGACAAGGATAGAGAAACGAGTGAACGCTCTCTTCCTCTCTTTCTGAGGTTCGAGAATGTTATACTCTTGGGAGTGAGAGTAACAGAGAGAAGTAGAGTAGCAGGCAGCTGTGCAATTGCTTTTCGAATAAATATAACCATGAACGACAAAGAGGTTAAAGGTAACGCACGGCATCGGAAAGGTGGAACACGTGTCTTCGTTATTCGTGACGTCACGCGGGAAATCGTTGCCATGGATACACGCTCTTAGGAATGACGCCTACGTCCTTTAAAATTCAAAAGCCACCAAGCTGGTGGCCATTCTGTGCTCCAGGTTTGCAGCGCCGGTTAATTCCGGCCGGGCGATGTACCTTGATACAGGTCAGCACGTAACAGGGCTGGATAAAAAGGGGACAAAACAAACAGCTCAAAGGGCTCCGAACCGGAATTCGACAGACAGGTATTTTAAGAAGCTATAATTTTTCTAGTCTCTCAGACTATCAGGTGAGACAATAAAAATTCGAAATTTTATTTCATATTTTTTAACTATTAATACTAAATCAGTTTGACGATTACCAGACGCAATGTTTCTATGCTAGTGTCATTTGAAATCCATATTAGTCGATTTCTTGCACTGGCACAAGAGGAGGACGTGGTCCTAAAATAAATTCAAAGCGTTCCACGAGGAAGCCAGGACGTAGCAAGTCGGTAGAGCCGTAAACCGTCAAAAATTTATGCCATTACACCTCGACTTCACGAGCAAGTAAAAAAGCATGGCTAGAAAACTTGTGCTGGAGGATAGAGAGACGTGCGAGAGGGCGACTGAAAAATTCCAATACAACTTATATATCTTTATACGTATATACATACATTATATACACACGTCTACAAGTATACAACGTCCTGGTGCAGCTCTCGCGAGGGTTAACGTTCTCGATGCAACGTAGCACAAAGACAGCTCGCGATGCTTGGTTTCTTCGAGTGACTTTCACCGAAATACGTATGCACGCTTCTACGTCCTTCCAAAGAAAATTCAAATAATACAATACGTCCCTGCTGTGAATTTCGGTCACGTATGCACCAGCTATATTTCTAAATATCTACCATACATATATAAGAATGAAATTGTACCACATAACCTTGAGCTCGCTCTCCTGATCGTCGTGCCTATAAATGAGGAAAAGTACAAAATATTCAATAAATATATATATACACACACTTATATATTCCTTTTTTCAGCAAGTCTTCATGAGGAACCTGTAGCTCCACCAAAGTCCAACGTACCCAACGAAAAGCAGCAGCAAGCGCGTCACCGTGTACGTAAGCAGGAGCGTGCGTATACCGACGCCGATGACGTCACGACGGCTTTGGGGTTTACTATCTCTAGTAAAAAAGGCTCAAAGTAAAAATAAGATAAGTATCCAGACGAAGCGTTATCCCAGGACACTAAGAAAAATAGAATACAATGGAAAACGGATGATGATGATGACGATGATGATGGTAGAGCAATGGTATTGGAGGCCTGGCTCATGGATACGGTATAGGTCGGTAGAGGTAGGCAGTGTATAGTAGAGTATAGTAAACTATATAGTGGAGCATGGTGCGAGCGTAGTGGCCTGATGAAAGGGGACAGAAGAAGCGAGGAAACACGCAAGCAAGCATCTGGGATGGCGCGCGCGCGACTTGCTATCAAAGAGAGGAGTCGAGAGGCGTACGACAGCGATGAGGCTACCACAGTGGAGTTAACTCGCGTGAGAAAGACGTAGACGGAGTGAGAACTCGCAGTGGAGTGCGGCGGGTGAGGAAGACGGCGTGGGTTCGGCGGTGGCAGAGAAGCAAGAGGGGACGAGGACAAATGACGACGCGCGCGAGCCATCAGGGCCGTAGAAGCACGCGACCATCTCGGACCCGTGCCTAAAATTCGAGATTTCATGGCTCGTTAGAAATTCATGGAAGAGACCAACGAAAAAGAGGGCCCCGATGATGATAACTATGGCTTTTAACAGTGCTCCCCGCTCAACGATACGACTGTTTGGTACGAAGTAGCGATAAAGTTTCCAGCTATCGCTGAGATAAGACCGAGCAGTTCTCGAAGCACGTACGAGCTTTCTTCATTGTATAAACGTCCGCTGTCTGCGGCATGAGCTAATACGCCAATCTGGTAAACAACGTAGTGTATGACTTGTCAGGATACACGTGTCCTTAGACCGCAAGATACGATATTACATGTATGCCAGAATTATAGCCTAAAAAGATGCGACGTCGATGACGTGCGGGTAAGCGTGACCAAAGGATGTCGCTAATATACACTAGCTAGAAGCTAGAGGTACACTCATCGCATGAGCCACGCGCCTTTTTATATTCCAACCGAGTGCAAAAGCTGCTACTTACGAGCGTGAGCAATAATATATGCTTTGGGTCCTTTGTAACGAAGCAAGCCTGACGTATTCAGGTATTAAAGAAAAACCCGAGAGTCATCTATACCACATGTAGAAATTTTAAATTACACTGGACGCCATATTGACAATCATTGCCTCAAACATCTGCATACCACCAAAGAGCTCTAGGGCCAGAAATGCCTGGTGTCAGCAACACGAGATCCTGTATACAGCTAATCGAGAGACACGAGGATCCAAAGACAGTACGAAGAATACCGAGAGCATTACGTATAAAAAAAGAGATGCCTAAGAGACAGTATATACAGAAAGGATTTACGGATGCCCCAAGTTCTCTCTCGCTACATTAACGGTCGAGCCTGAGAGTCGCGTGAGAGGATGAGTGGGGCTGAGAAGCAGGAAGGGAGGGATGGAACGTTGGTGGCGTCAGTGGTAGGACGGAGAGTCGACAGTGGCGACAAGCGGTGGGGAGTCGTGGGACTAGTGGGTGGCAGGAGACCGAGGGCAACTGAGCACGGAGTGATAGGGGAAATCAGTCGCGGTACGAATCTCGCCGCGAGCACATGTGGGACTGGAGGGTCGGTATTATTTCAGAGTATATAGAGACATATATATATATGTGTATATATATATATATATATATATATAGTCATCAGCGTAAATAAGCAGACGTCAAATATCGGTATACATTAATATAAACCTGCGCGTTGGACGATCTGTATATAGAGACATATATATATATGTGTACCGAGGGCAACTGAGCACGGAGTGATAGGGGAAATCAGTCGCGGTACGAATCTCGCCGCGAGCACATGTGGGACTGGAGGGTCGGTATTATTTCAGAGTATATAGAGACATATATATATATGTGTATATATATATATATATATATATATAGTCATCAGCGTAAATAAGCAGACGTCAAATATCGGTATACATTAATATAAACCTGCGCGTTGGACGATCTGTCATATTAAATAAAACACACTTGTTGTTTGCACTCTACGTCATCGTGGAATACGGAGCGGAGTCCGTGACGTCACGCACACACAATCACACACGATATATATACAGTTAATTACCAAGGGAGAAACTGCACGCCGAGGTACGCAATCTGAGAGAAGTTTGTGAAAGAGAAAGAGGACGAAAAATGCACGGCTAGTTATCGACCGAGCATCGACGACGGATTCACCGTTGAACGTGTTACGTTTCTATACGCAGGGATTACACGCTGGAAAGTGTTTTGCTACTCTGCAGAAGCATGCTATCGGCTGTTTCGTAAAGGAAAGTCGGTCGTCAATCATTTGCAGAGAGTAAGAGGTATACGGTATCAAGAAGGTGAGAGAGAGACAAAGACAGAGTGACACTGTAAAAAAAAAAGAAAAGTAAGAGACAGGTGAGAAGAAAACAAAAATTACAAATCGTACCGTGCATCGGGGTATTATCAATTTCTACACCTCGGGTAAGTACTGAAATCCGAAATATTTATACGTTTAATACGTAACCAAACCAGAGGGAGATAAGTAAAGGCGACGAAGCGCTAGACGTGACGCACGTCAGTAGTAGACAGTGAAGTGGTGAAGTGGTTAGCAGAAGTAATTTCGCAAGTGCTAAGAACGAACAGAAAGAGAAATAGGGACTCGAGGAAGAAAGAGGAAACCAGATAAGCTTAAGGAGAAAGACTGTCCCGGGAACGTGGTGAACAAATCAAGGACGTGAACTAAGATAAAGACTCTGGGGATCCATACGACCGAAGCAACTTCAGGATGCTCGACTTCGAACAGCAGGCTAATCAGGCGCAGGCTTTGGCCTCGCTCGATGAGGACTGGCATCTGCTGGAGGGTAAGCATTCTTCCACGACCTTCGCAATTTCTCAAGATCCACAGGGAGAGAAAGGCTCGACGGCCCTCGCGTTTTTGACTTTCGAAAAGCCGCGTTCCGCTCACTGCTGCACGTACGTAAATACGCGTCTGATACGTTGTCGTCTTACGCTCGCGTGGTCATGTCGTGGGACGTGGTGGGAGAAAGACAGGAATAGATGTTTCTTTTAAAAGGAAAACAATTGCTAACATCTCTGTAAACGTCGAGCTATATCCTAGTTTCTCCTGTACATACTCTGTTATTCAGCCCAGAGGTACCACCTGAAATTAGTGCACCCATTTCATTCCTATGGTGAAGCTATGTTCAGGTGGTGCGTTTGGGCTGAATAACTAAACTTTTATATATACAGTAACGTCCAATTGAAGTGCAACACTTGAATTTTTTTACATATCTGTGAAAGTATGACGGATTTCGAAAAACCAAAGACATATTTTTTAGGAAATTTCCTTCCCGTTCGAATGGTAAAAGTTTTATCGGATACAAAATGGCCGAATGGCAGGGGTTGGAGTGAAAAAGTGCATTTTGGAACTTTTTGAAAAATTCGAGATCTAGTAGTTCCAAAAGGAAATTTATATTTCTAATTAGGGCACGAGAGAAAGCATCGTTCGGCATTAAACCCCCCCCCCCATCGAACCCCTGTAGGATCACTCTAGGGGGAGTTACACCCCCTTGAAGTGAAAACACTTAAATGGCCATAACTTCCGAACGCACTGGCCAATCTGGTCCATTTTCTGCATGATATCATCTTTAATTATACTGCAGATTCTCACAAAATTATTGTTCTCGGAGATGATCCTGTGACGGAGATCTCGAGATTTCGCAAGCGCACCCGAAGCTTCCCCGAAGTTTCATTTTCATCCACGTTGTAGCTGAGATTTCAACGATTAAAACGCAGTTTCAAACTTCTAAATACGAGTACGCCAAGGGGTTAAATTATTCGTTTGAAAAAGCGCCTAAATTTTGCGAGTACCGCTCGTGGCGCTCGGGGGACAATTGCTTGGCGCGCGTGGTAGGGTAGTAGTCCCGCCTCGAGCGAAACTCACAAAATTTAGGCGTTTTTTCAAACGGATAATGTAACTCCTTAGCGTACTCGTATTTGGATGTTTGAAAGCGCGTTTCAATCGTTGAAATCTCAGCTACAACGTGGATAAAAATGAAACTTCTATTTCATCGCTTTCCTAATGAAAAGTGGCGGGAAAGCTTCGGGTGCGCTTGCGAAATCTCGAGATCTCCGTCACAGGATCATCTCCGAGAACAATAATTTTGTGAGAATCTGCAGTATAAATAAAGATCATATCATGCAGAAAATGGACCAGATTGGCCGGCGCGTTCGGAAGTTATGGCCATTTAAGTGTTTTCACTTCAAGGGGGTGTAACTCCCCCTAGAGTGATCCTACAGGGGTTCGATGGGGGGGGGGGTTTAATGCCGAACGATGCTTTCTCTCGTGCCCTAATTAGAAATATAAATTTCCTTTTGGAACTACTAGATCTCGAATTTTTCAAAAAGTTCCAAAATGCACTTTTTCACTCCAACCCCTGCCATTCGGCCATTTTGTATCCGATAAAACTTTTACCATTCGAACGGGAAGGAAATTTCCTAAAAAATATGTCTTTGGTTTTTCGAAATCCGTCATACTTTCATAGATATGTAAAAAAATTCAAGTGTTGCACTTCAATTGGACGTTACTGTATATATACATAAATTTGGCTATCGCATACTTTGGAGTCGACTTCTTTTACCAACACGCTTATTCGAGGTCTTATGGCTGGTCTTATATATGCATATATACATATATATATATATACATACTTTTATGTAATCAGGTGTGCCATAGCTGTAGATATATGTACATAAAATTATACTGAAAATTATTATACTAATAATTTTGATAATTTTATTTGTAAGCGTTTAACTCGACTCGTACTCTCTCGGACTCGTCATAAACATCCGCTATCGCTCGTACTGTATTTCTCTTATCTATAACTAACTTCAGGGTAAGTACGCGATCTGTTCGACCCATGGAAACCGATACCGCTCACCTGTCCGTTCCTCGGATAAACTTTCGGCTCTACTCCATACCTCCCACTGCCGCTGGCAATGCTGCTGCTGCTTCTGCTGCTTCTGCTGCTACACCGTATTACCAGACTAATCCACCTGGCGCTCTTTATTCCCTTGCACGCATTCCCAACATAACGAAGAACAGTATAAGCTTTCCAAAGCTTCCCCTATAACCCACTGTTACTTTCACGCGTGGCCAACGATACGCATTGCACAGTCTTTTGATTATAACCCGCGATTCCAGCCAGAGTAACCAACAGCCATATAAAGTATATACAATAGAAACTTAAATGTGAACACTCGATGCAAGAGACTTGCACAGACTATAGAAAACCATAGTAAACGATACGCGACGATCTTGAAGTGTTCGCAAAACGTTCCCAGGAATCGATATTAAAATTTGTGCTATATCAGAAAAGCGAGTAATTCACGTTTCCTTACTTTCCTTATACCTCCAAGCACATTCGAGTCGATACCCAAGATATAATCTAGCAGCAAAAAGAGAACTTGGCACGTAAACATTAGAAATATCGCTCGGAACAGCCAGACTCTGCGTTTCCCTTTGTCTGTGGATACTCAATGACTATAGTTATAATACACTTGTATATAGGTAGAGCCGCTACGTCGTATTATAGCTTGCCGAGAGAGCGTTGCAGGAGTCATCGTGTACAGGAGGAGTCGACGACGGGATACTAGAATACATAAGGAGCGTAGTAGCGGGCTCTAATACAGTCTCTATGGGTATGGACGCATCGTGGATTACTCGGTCGGTATTGCAGATTCCGTACGTAAAATATGTATATACGTATAGTACGAAGCACAGCACATCGCTTACGGAGATTCGTGAGGTTCCTGTACGTCACTGATAAAATTGTTCGACCTTCGTTCGTAAGCGCTTGTCTACCTATGTAGCCACATACGTACGTTCAAATGCGCTTGTACATTCTCGTTAAAGTTATAGGTATGCATTGGCAGTACCAGCACCGGTACCAACGGTAGCAATGATAATGCTACTGCACCGGCCACTCGTACGAATATTTATTTACCTTGTACTCGGCGACGCACGCACGCAAGCGTCCAGGCACGCGTGTCGTCATATTACTCCCGGGTCTTGTCGGTCTCTACGGTTACGTAAAAATACTCGCAATTAATTATTGCTCCAGTGCCGAGCGTCGTTGTCGCTAGGAAGACACAGCCGAGTCGCCTGCGTCACTTTAGCCGCCCGCATACAATATTGTATACCAGGAGCAACTGTCGGCAGGACGATTCGCTCGCTCATTGCCGTACCGTTGTTTTCATTCGTTGCGCGTCTCTTTATCAATAGTCCATGCGCACTTGAGCATTGTAGGTTATTCCTTTGTCGGTTGCAAGCAAGACGCGGGAAATATGAAATGTGATTTGTAAAGGTGTTTTTGGGAGCAACGATACCGAGGCATTGGCCCAATTGGCAACTCAGGGACGTAGAGAAATAAGGCTGCGCCCCTCCACCTCACCAGCCCCCGAACACATTCGACTGGGCTCGGTTCACTCGCCCCAAGGACCCCAAGTTCATTCACACTGGGTTCACTCCGACGCTACCGTACGCGCGCAAGGACCTTTTTACGAAAGGGCCTCTTCTCTGTGTCCTTCTATTTTTCATTTCAACTTGAATATTAATTTTTGGAATAAACACACGTCGCTTTTCGGGACTTTCCTCCTTGCCAAACGTCAATCTGACTCACGCGCTCGCATCACTCGTACGTTACGCGATTTTACGAAGATTCATGAAATTTCTATTTTTTGCTCCTCACATTTTCAGAAATAACTTGTCATTTACAACGTACTGCGGGAATTATCGCGAATTTCCTGGAAGCTGATTGCTCGTCCGGAATGCACGACGTCGTTCGATTCTCGAATTGAGTAAAAGAAACATTTGACATCAACAAGCCGTACGAATTTTATTTAAAATTAAAAAAAAAAACAGCAGTCGCAGACCAGAGACGAATATTTGACGAGCCAAAAATATGAGAGAGAGAACAAATTTATAAAAGAAATCAATAAGATATCCTCATCTGCGATGAACTTTTTGTCGATTCAATCCCAGAGCAGCATCGGGGGCCTTTTGCAAAGCATCTATTTTTACCTTGCAACCAAACCTATATATATGTATATATATATACACGTTTTGCAATATATAAGATATATATATATATATATATATACACAAGTAAAACGAAGCCCTCCCGTGAGTGAATGTGTACCGAGCCACGTTCGCCCTGACTCGCTATATACACGTTTTGCAATATATAAGTTTATAAAAGAAATCAATAAGATATCCTCATCTGCGATGAACTTTTTGTCGATTCAATCCCAGAGCAGCATCGGGGGCCTTTTGCAAAGCATCTATTTTTACCTTGCAACCAAACCTATATATATGTATATATATATACACGTTTTGCAATATATAAGATATATATATATATATATATATACACAAGTAAAACGAAGCCCTCCCGTGAGTGAATGTGTACCGAGCCACGTTCGCCCTGACTCGCCACGACGACATAACGATCTGGTTTCGAGGTCGTGTGCCCAGTAGTACCATATTTAAAGAGTAAAACTCTTTTGCACCCTCTCAGAAAGAAAGGACAATCGATTAGGATCAACTAGACAGTTGAGAAACGTTAAAACGCCGGTCATGTAATTTCGTAAGGAACCGTCGCAGCAGCCTCGCCACGGCTGACTGGAAGACTCGGGTGTCCTACGAAGGCCTCATCACTCGTGACGTAATAGAAAGTAGAGCCACAAGGCTGTTTTACCACTACCAGCTGTCTCGCTCGCCGCTACCGCCGTCGTCGTAGCCGCGGCGCATTTTAGCGCAACATACGTCGAGACCCGGCCCGTTGGCCGGATCACGCTTTGG